ATAATTTAAGTCGCTACTTGAGATCCCGACTCAAGTTCATAACTCAAGTTCATAAGTTCACGACTCAAGTTCATAACTCAAGTTCATAACTCGAGTCGCGACTTGAGTTCACGACTCAAGTTCATAACTCGAGTCATAAAAACAAGTCGACTTATCGACTTAAAACTCGACTTGAGTTTTGAGTCGATTTTTTGACTAAAAACTCGACTTGAGTCGTAGTTAAGTCGACTCGGTTGAGTCGTTTAACAACACTAGAAATAGGAATTAAGGTAATAATAATTTTAGATACTATGATAGGAATTACGATAATAATAATTCTAGATACCATGATAATTATAATAACAATAACTACAACAACTATCGCTACAACAATAATAATCTATCTAATTACGGTAGAAATAATACATGTATGATAATAATCAGAGGAAACATATCCAATAAGGTGATCGAAATCGCAATCATTACCAATCCTATAGTAACAATTCAAATAATTATAGAGGTAGCGACAACAATCAGAGAAAGCAAGTACAATATAACAACAACGACCATAATATGAATATTGAAGAAATTGTTGAAGATAATGTCGACTCTACAAAAAATAAAGATGATAACGATTTTAACATTAATAATTTATCTGGGGACATGCATAATGATATAAGGCATTTATGACTACTTTAAAAGTAAATGATATTATAACAACCATGCAAGTCGACACGGGTTCCAAATATGCTATTATACCTCATGAATTGGCTAAAAAACTTGGTATTAAAGATGTTAAAAGATCCGAGTTACAACTTACCGGCTATGACGGAAATTTAATTAAGATCATCGGCATTACGCAAGTTAAAGTGACTTATGAAGGTATCTCGAAATATTTACAAGCGGCAGTCGTTGAGTCAAGAAAAATGCCTTGTTGGGTCTTACGTGGATCAACGCTTTCAAAAATATTTTAAATAAATTTAAGCAAACATTGACACAAACTACGAAAATGAAATTAAAAAATTGATTAAAGAGTGCGAATCTAAATTGACTAACGGACCAATTAACAAAGCAAGTGTCAAGTTACACTTAAGAAGAGATGCCCAACCTAAAATTATACCACCAAGACGTTTACCTTATTCAAAAATTGATCTTGTGGGCAAAGATCTTAAAAAATGCATAAATTATGAAACTATTGAGCTGGTGAATGATGTTCGATGGGCAAGTCCTATTACCGACGTCTACAAAGATGATGGGAGCATTGGACTTTGCGCTGATTTTAAGGACACTGTAAACCCAGTTCTAGAAGATTTCAGATACTCACTTCCACGAATTAATGATCTAATAGCTAAACTTTCAGAATAAAAAAAATTTACCAAGATCGATTTTAAAAATGCTTTCTTATAGGTCCCGATTAATAAAAGTTGCAGAAATATTTTAACTATATCTACGCACATGGGATATTACCGATTTACTAGACTTCCTTTTGGGATAAAGACCTCATCTGTCATCTTCCAACAGATCATGGACCAAATCTTCGGTGACATGAAAGATGATATTTTATATTGATACTTATAACCGGAAAAAACGATGAAGCTCACCTAAATAACAAAGGTGTTTGATAGAATATCATCGTTTGGGTTAGCACCTAACTTCAACAAAGGTGTGTTCTTTAAAAACAAAGTGAGGTTCCTGGGCCATGATATTGACGCCAAGGGGATTCATGTTAACCACTATAAAATTGAAGCTATAATTAAAATGCCAGAACCAAAATCAGCTGCTGAATTATCAACATTTCTGGGAATGGTTGACTACTATAGAAAATTTTTGAACAGCAGAAATAGCCGATCCTCTATATAAAATCGTCAACAAAGAAAAATGAGCTTGGAACTTAAAACACTCTAGAAGTTTCAATGATCTAAAGAAGTTGATTAGTCTTCCTCCTGCCTTGACTTATTTTAATCCTGAATTACCTATAGGAATTACTACTGATGTATCTAAATGTAGTTTAGGAGCTGTATTATTTCATACTGAAAAAGATGGCAAAGAAAAACCATCGCGTCAAGAATTTTATTAAAATCCGAAATGAAGTATACCAATATTAAGCGTGAGGCTCTCCCTATTATATTCGCTATAAAGAGGTTCCAGGAATACTTAATCGGCACCAAGTTTACAATTATTACTGACCATAAACCTCTAGTCCACATCTTCACTAAGAGTCTTAAGGACAATAGTACTATGTCCTTAAGACTACAGAAGTAGAATATAACATAGGAGGTTATGATTTCAATATTGTTACTTATATTTATTATCAAAAGTATTTATAAAATTTATTAAATTATTAACTGTTATATATTATATAACTGTCAAATACGTATGAAGTGGCATTTTACCTAATATTTTATAATCAATTATATATAACAGAGGACTATAAACTACATAGGCGTAGCCAGGATTTTCATAAGGGGGAGGGGGAATTAAAAAATTACTGGGGCTTCGCCCCCAAACCCTCTTTTGGGCGGGCCTTCAGCCTCCCCCCCGGCCTTCGGCCGGGTTACTATAGTCTATATATAGTCATAAAATATAACAAATGTTAATAAAAAATATAAGCCTGAAACAAATATGAAATATATTTTTATTAGTTTATATAAAATGAAAATATAATAAATTACTTGTATTGTATATACCTTAATATAAAATCATGGTAATAATTTATACCAAACAATTATAAGAAATTTATTTATAAAAAGTAAGTAGACATATAGTTGATTTTACTCTATTATATAGAATTAGTTATAAAATACTAGGTAAAATTCCACTTTTACAGACATATTTGACAGTTAGAGAATATATTACAGTTAATAAGTTAACAAATTTTACTAATCAATGCTCTTGATATTAAATATAGCAACAATCGCCATCTATTTATTTTAAGTAAAAATGATATTTAAATTTAATCTTCATATTATTCATCCCACAATGTCTTTAAAAGATATTTTCTGATGTCCTTATCAATATTTTATAGTTTTCTGTAAAATATATAATTCGCTATATTGGTAAAAATTACTTGATTGTCATTTGATAATTAGATATCTGTAAATCTACGACATATAATATTCCACTGTTTGTATAGTGCTTTAATATTTTTTTAATTTATGATTTAATTTTATCAATAGTTTATAATTATATTTTACTTTTATTAAGATAAATAAATTAAAATTACTCACTTTATAAAATATTATATTTGATATATTATATTATTTAGTAATTTTATGGATCTATTATTAATAATTAATACATTTCACTTCTGTCTTAAAACTTATCTTTGGCTTATATATCATTTATTAAAAAACATTTTTGGTTCATTTTATATATTTATAAATTTATTTTCCCAAAATCTATAAATTTTGATGAATAGTTTTATAAAAAAATATCAACTTTTGCATTCTTTCTTTCAAATTATTATTTAAGATATATACATACATATTTGAGGGTCAGGGAGCGGTAGGAGGACTAAGGGGGATATTTTTTATTAGCTAAAATGATATATTAAAAAGTGATAAATTTCTAAAGGGGGGGGGGGATTTCCCCTTGCCACCCCCCCTACGCCTATGATAAACTATATGCCTACTTTCTTTTTATAAAAAATTTCTTATACTTATTTGAACCTTGAAAATATTTTTAGGAAGAGGTATGGTAATTAAATTTAAAAATGAATAATATAGTTGATTAGTAATTTTGAACTCAGCTAATTACAATATTTGTTAATTTTCAATTAATAAATGATTATATTTATTTATTTAGGGTATATAATAATTTAAATAATAAAATTCAATTAAGCTTCAACTGATAATGCTAAATTAATATTTAGTGAGTTATATTGATATTCTATTTTTAACACAGAATTTGATTGCATGACCAATGATATATAATTTATATGTATTAATCTAATCTAATAATTAAAATAGTATTCATTAAAAATTTAGATAGTCTTATAAATTTTAAATTAATTAATTAAATCTATATATTACATAATAGAATTATAAAAGAAATCGTTCAGGTGGCAATCAAAAAAAATTCATTTTTATATCCAGGAGATATTAATGAGCCATTTTTTAAAAAAATTTTGCTTCAGGGGGCTATTCAAATTATTAAGGGGGCTCGAGCCCCTGCGCCTCTCCCCTCCCTACTCCACTCTATTTATTTTTAGTTCAGAGGAATATTAAGGAGCCATTAGAAAAAAAAATTTTCTGCTCCAGGGGACAATTCTAATTTTTTAGGGGGCTCGAGCCCCTGAGCGCCTACTCCTAATGACTCTACTGATTAATATTCCACATATAATAAATAAAAAAATAAATTTACAGGCTTTTTGAAAAGAAAATAATACATATTTAAGATATATAAAATAACAATCTGTATATGAAACAGGTTCACTTAAATTAATTCATAAATTTTGATAGAAACACAAGGTGGCTAGCTAGAATTAAACAAAAGATGTTATTCTCTGAAAATATTTACATTGTGATATTTCTAATAAAAAGTAATATAAAATGAAATAAAATATGTAAAGGCAGAAATATAAATCACGATTCAGTGTTGTTTATTAAAATATGTAAATAAAAATTAAATAAATCAGACTACTGCTTTATAATTATAATGCTTAAATCCATTATATAAATAACAATGATATAATATATATCATTGACAAATAATTACAGTAGAAATAATATAAAAATTGAATAATAATTATTATATATTTAATAGCGTACATTGTTTAAATTCTTACTCATTATTTTAGTCATCAGACTAATCTGGCTTAACCTAATCATGATACAAAGAATGATCGATATTTATTTAGATAAGGTGATAAGGTGGCGCTAATTTTAAAAACACCTCAAATTACTATTATTAACGTCGCCAACGTTATATAATCGTAAAAAATGGTCATTACATTTATTTTAATAGGAGTGGTAAATTTTCTATAAATGGCTTAAATAAAAATTTTATTAATGATATTAACAACCATTATAATTTTTCAACTAACTTTAATTCGAGTTATTTCCCATGTTTTATCTCAAAATTCATTAGATTTATCAAAGAATATCAATGACATACTTGATAAATTAATTAAATCAGATTATATTGAGGTTTGCATAAATAACATAAATATTATTTTCATTGTGATTTTAAATAGGATTATTTAGCAACAAATGATTGTTTTTTGCAACCATACTGTCATGAAAACTTATTTAAAAATGTAAGAATAAAAAATCATTATGTGCATGGATTTGATTAACCTTTTTTTTATATATTCAATAATTTTCTTTTATGGGCTTTGTGATCACCTTTACAAATTTACTACTTTAATAATATTTTTATTCATGCTTCTACTCTGGATATTTTATTCTCAATGCTTATATTGTAGAAAGATTTGCTAAACATCAGACAAAACTAATTAATATTATTTCATAAATGTCACAACAGACATAGATATAGTCAGAATTTTTTAAGGGAGGAAGGCATTGTATGATGTTAGCTTCACTTTTTACAAGTCTTTGGCTGAGTTACATTTTTTTAGATAATTTTAGTTTTGCACTTGAAAAATATTATAGTCTTTGTTTTATTATATGAAGAGGGGCAAAGTTGGATTAGGATGATAGTTTAAGCTTTGATATTTACAAAAACTATAAATAGCCAAAGGATGCCTCCTCCCACCTTGGTTACCATGTCAGATATTGATTTGGCATGCTTATTAGAGCCCAGACTGGGGTTGCTTAAAAACGAATGATTATTATTATCATAAAAATATAGTCATTTTTTTAAATATAAATACTGTAGAGATCTGTAACATTTCCCAGCATCTCCAAAGGCCCAATTGTAATAGGCCATGCAAATTTTTATAAAAGTATGTTTCTAGAACAGGGGTGTCATGTCATATAGTGAACTGCATCGCGCCTAATTTTTCAAGCCCAGCCTGGCCCAAATTTTTTTGTAAAAAAGTTTTGCCAGCTTGGCCCGAATCTGAAAATTTTTAAAAAAGTTTTGCTGCATGGCTCGAACCCGAAATTTTTTTAAAAAAAATTTATGGCCTGGCCCAAATTTATTGAAATATAGAAATTTATTTATTTAATTACGCACAATAAAAGACATATGTTATATGTGGGAATGACTAAAATACGTGTCCACAAAAACTACGCGTCCATGGTCAAAACGACTTATTTTTATTATTATTAATAGGAAATCTTATTAAGCTTTATAATATGAGTTAGAAAATGTTTTTTTTAATTTAAAAAAAATACGGTAACTAAATAAAATTTATAAAAATTTATTTTTTTAAAAAATAAACTACGCGTCCCCGGTCAAAATACAGTTTTAAAAAATAAAAACAGATTCATATTTAGCTCATTAAAAGAATACAGAATATGTAAATATTATATTTTAAAGTATTTTATAACTTAGTGATTTTTTGAAAAATCACTTTTTTTTTCAAAAACACTACGCGTCCCCGGTCAAAAAACCGTTTTTTTTTAAAATAAAAGCAGATTCATGTTTAGCTTTTCAAGGAGATTCAGAAAATGGTATTAATAAAAAAAATTTAAAAAAAAAAAATTTTTTTTGGCTAAACTACGCGTCCCCGGTCAAAATACAGTTTTTTTTAAAAAATCAAAACAGATTCATATTTAGCTCATTAAAATAATACAGAATATGTAAATATTATATATTAAAGTATTTAATAACTTAGTGATTTTTTGAAAAAACACTTTTTTTCGAAAACACTACGCGTCCCCGGTCAAAAAACCTTTTTTTTTAAAAAATAAAAGCAGATTCATGTTTAGCTTTTCAAGGAGATTCAGAAAATGGTATTAATAAAAAAAAATTAAAAAAAAAAAATTTTTTTTTGGCTAAACTACGCGTTCCCGGTCAAAATACAGTTTTTTTTAAAAAATCAAAACAGATTCATATTTAGCTCATTAAAAGAATACAGAATATGTAAATATTATATTTTAAACTATTTTATAACTTAGTGATTTTTTAAAAAAACACTTTTTTTTTCAAAAACACTACGCGTCCCCGGTCAAAAAACCGTTTTTTTTAAAATAAAAGCAGATTCATGTTTAGCTTTTCAAGGAGATTCAGAAAATGGTATTAATAAAAAAAATTTTTAAAAAAAAATTTTTTTTTGGCCAAACTACGCGTCCCCGGTCAAAATACAGTTTTTTTTAAAAAATAAAAACAGATTCATATTTAGCTCATTAAAAGAATACAGAATATGTAAATATTATATTTTAAAGTATTTTATAATAGTGATTTTTTGAAAAATCACTTTTTTTTTCAAAAACACTACGCGTCCCCGGTCAAAAAACCGTTTTTTTTAAAAATAAAAGCAGATTCATGTTTAGCTTTTCAAGGAGATTCAGAAAATGGTATTAATAAAAAAAATTTAAAAAAAAATTTTTTTTTTGGCTAAACTACGCGTCCCCGGTCAAAATACAGTTTTTTTTAAAAAATCAAAACAGATTCATATTTAGCTCATTAAAAGAATACAGAATATGTAAATATTATATAATAAAGTATTTAATAACTTAGTGATTTTTTGAAAAAACACTTTTTTTCGAAAACACTACGCGTCCCCGGTCAAAAAATCGATTTTTTAAAAAAATAAAAGCAGATTCATGTTTAGCTTTTCAAGGAGATTCAGAAAATGGTATTAATAAAAAAAAATTAAAACTACGCGTCCCCGGTCAAAATACAGTTTTTTTTAAAAAATCAAAACAGATTCATATTTAGCTCATTAAAAGAATACAGAATATGTAAATATTATATTTTAAACTATTTTATAACTTAGTGATTTTTTGAAAAATTTTTTTTTTCAAAAACACTACGCGTCCCCGGTCAAAAATACATTTTTTTTTAAAAAATCAAAACAGATTCATATTTAACTCATTAAAAGAATACAGAATATGTAAATATTATATTTTAAAGTATATTGTATTTTTTTTCCTATTTTGTAAATTTTCTAAAAATTATTTAATATTTTATAGGGATCGAAATGTAAGGGAATTATTTTCCGGGGTATTTTTTTCGGGGGATTTTTCTTTCAGGGTATTTTTTTTCCGGGGAATTATTTTCCGGTGAATTTTTTTCAAGGGGGTTTTTTTCTGGGGAATAATTTTCCTAGATTCCTTAGTGACAACCATAAATGATTTAAGGTCTCAAAAAAAAATTATATCAGCAACTTATAAATTTGTATAACTTTATTTTGTAAGTATATATTAACCTAATATTATGTGTTTATTATCTCTAATATTTATTTAAAATTTTATAATTCAAACTTAATATGTTATGAGATATAGCTAATCAAAATTTGGGGTAAAATAGACTCCACCTATGTAGTTACGGGAATTTTTTCCCCCTTTTTAGTCAAGGGTTAAATCATATTTTTCTAAAAAAATCATGTCTTTATAAATATTATTAATTAGCCTATACTCTTGGGATTTAGAATCAACATTTATATTACATCTCAATAAATATCATGCTATTAGACGAAATATACAAATTTTTTTTTAAATGATCGTTTATTTATTATTTATATACCAGCATATGCAAATCAATATAAAAATAAAAAAGTATACTGTATCATCACATTAGGGTAATATTTAAAAAAAAACAATAATAACAATATCATATAATGTTGTAAAGACTATTATCGTTCCCAATATCGTCTTTGATTCGTCTGAAGACTTTATCTGTAAAATAAAATAAATACTATAATTTATTAATATATTGCTTTTGATCTTTATATTAATGTATAGTTTTAATATTATGGTTTTAGCCATCGAGGCAACCATAAAAAGAGCTTTTAGGTCTTAGTTTAAAAAAATACCAAGACCATGGATATATAACAGGTTTAAAATTTTAAACCTGAAATATAACCAAAATATAATATATTAAAAAATTTACATTAATTTAAAAAAAAAATTAAAGAAAAAAATATATTTGTCATAATCTACTTTAAGGTCTTAGTTTAAAAAAATACCAAGACCATGGATATATAACAGGTTTAAAATTTTAAACCTGAAATATAACCAAAATATAATATATTAAAAAATTTACATTAATTTAAAAAAAAAAAATTAAAGAATAAAATATATTTGTCATAATCTACTTTAAGGTCTTAGTTTAAAAAAATACCAAGACCATGGATATATAACAGGTTTAAAATTTTAAACCTGAAATATAACCAAAATATAATATATTTAAAAATTTACATTAATTTAAAAAAAATAAATTAAAGAAAAAAATATATTTATCATAATCTACTTTTAGGTCTTAGTTTAAAAAAATACCAAGACCATGGATATATAACAGGTTTAAAATTTTAAACCTGAAATATAACCAAAATATAATATATTAAAAAATTTACATTAATTTAAAAAAAATAAATTAAAGAAAAAAATTAGTCTACTCTAACATCGCATCTTCATCATTATGCTCATTAGATATGACAGTTAAATTATTAACCTGTGACGCCAAGTCAACCTGTTGACTTGGCATCGGGGATATTGCCGATAGGGGATTCGGTACTTCTGGAATGGTCTCAGATCGGGAGGGAGGCAAAACTTGCGGCATGACGATTGTCTCCACAACATCACGATACCTTCGGCGCACTGGGGGTTCTGGACAGAACCTTTACGACTTCAAATCCGCATGATTGATGGCTCAGTGGAGTCAGACAACTGGCTGGAGGATGCCAGGCTTGAAGCATCAAGGTTATATGGGCAGATGCTCAATATAGCTAGACCTATTACCAGATCTACTCGAGACAGACAGTCTCGTAGCTCCCGAAGCCCAAGACGATACTATGGTTCCTTCTCTAGAGACTCCAGAGAACCCCCGATCTGTTACAGATGTGTATTAAGTTTGAAAGATTTTAGTAATGATTTTATTATAGGAGCATGTGAAGTCATTTTGTTGGAAGATGATTGATGACAAATAAAGGACCTTACTAATATATTCACTCCTTTAAAAATAACCAGAACAATTATGTTTATTTGATTTTTATGGCATATGGATTTAGATTGAGAAAAATTTACAGTCCTTTTTATACTAAATATTAGAAAACATGAAAATTCGAGAGCAACAATATTTGCAAAATAGTGTTGTATACGCTTTTATACATTTAGACCCTCGATATCAAGTATTATTGAGTATTGAGCAAAAACAAATGGCTAAAGATCATCTTAAGGATTTAAGGCATATGCAAAACTCTATTATTTACAATATATTGGAGGTCATGACAATGTCTAACTGATTGTAGTGTTAATAATAATGATAACAACATTGATGATCTTGAAATTTTACTTTTAGAAAGAGAAAAAAAAATCAAATTATCAATAGATAGAAAGGAGAGGAGGATCAAAAAATGCCTATTGCATCTTTAAAGTTCTCTAAATAAGGATAAAAATATTTTAAAATTCGAAAATTCTTCAATATATCCAGATTTATATATCTTATCTAGAATCTTCATGGCTGAACTGGCGACACAAGTACAATAATTTTATAAAGATAACTCTACTTTAGGTAAAAGTAGAATGTGAATTATCTTTAAAATATACATTGTCTACTTTACGTGGAAATCTCAAGGATGATATTTTAGAAGATATTATGATTGTGTGATTGAATAAAACATTTAAAATATAAATTATCTCTTTTAAATTTTTCATTTGTAAATTATGAATATGTGTATATTGAAGTATAATAATAAATGAATGAAAAAATATATTATTTTAGTCATCATTTTTATGTTTCCTGAACCCTAACCATGGACTCGGGTCCTTTAAAATTTTATTCTTATACCCGAACCCGATTCTGGATTCTTTTTTTTTGTCGAAGGGTTCACATCCCACTAAATTACCTTTTTTTAATGGTATAAAATAAAAATTTTGAGAGGGCTCTTCAAATTTTGAGGGGAGCTTGAGCCCCGGCACCCTCTAGTAACGTACTGGTCTAGAAACATTTTTCACTATTTAAGCCTATTTATAGATCAGAGACAAACAAGTGCTTACTCAAAAATTTGCTATAAAGGAGAGGGCGTAATTTTAAAAAAATTTGATTATTCTAAGAATTATTTAAAAATATCTTAAGTTAAAATTTATTAGGACTAGTGACTACATTACAAAATATTGGCAATTTCTTATATACAAATTCTAATATAAATTAATGATAATATATTAAATGTGTTTATTGTAAAAATAATTATAAATTTTATAAGCATTTAATATTTGATATATAAATTTAATTTATATTTTTAAAAAAATGTTGGAAATGTAGATTAATGCATAAATATATTCTTAAGGATATTTTACATGTATATAAACTTACAAAGTATTCATGTAAAAAATATAATATATTAAGAAATGGGAAAAAATATTTTAAAGAACATATTAAATCAAATGAGCTAGTTTTTCAATGATTTATTGATGTCAATTCCCTATGTATATTAAGGAAGGATTCATCTATCTACAGAGGTAATACTTCTCATTATTGTTGTTAAATAGCTCGTTTCCAATTTAAAAACGGCTAACTCAATATTTTAGCTAGAAAATTGCCTAAGCCTCAAGATTTCGATAATATATGTCTAGACTTTTGTTCCTTCTATGAGCAAAATCTCAGGCTTGCATAATATTTTTCTGGGTGAAATGTTGAGTTAGCCGTTTCCATCTAACAACACTAATTCTCAGTAGTGTAAAATGGCTCAATTTGAGCCAATTTTTAAAAACATCAAGCTCAATAAAAATATTTGGACAGTGGTAGAATATGAAAAATACCAGTTGAACTGATTTTTAAAAATGTCTAACTCAATACTTTAGCTAGAAAAATATTACCTAAGCCTCGAGATTTTTCTAATAGACATCCAAATCTTTGTGCCATCTATGAGCAAAATCTTCAGACTTGCATTATATTTTTATGGATAAAATATTGAGTTAGTTTTTATAAATCGGTTCAAATCAAGCCATTTACAACACTACAACAAACTTTAATAGATTATTAAATTTTTCCTGAGATCTTATTTGTATTCTATGGTTTTTAAGTTATTGTTTTTGCATTTTCTCTATTTTTATGTTTGTATAACTTTATGAAGATTCATATAATTCTAGACATCAAGAATTTTTTTTCTTATTTTTTCAATTCTAGAATAAATATATAAAGGCTTATTATAAAAAACTTTTAAATTTAGAAAATGAATGATGTTGAATAGGAAATTATTATAATCATAAATGAGAATTTTAATAAAATTACATAATAAATGCTTGACAAAATTATATTATTAGTCTGCAGAGCCACACACTCTGCATTATATATTGGTATGTTTATGTTGGGTGACTTTATTTTTCATTAATATACTTAATTTGTAATTGTAATCTAATGACCCTATTCTAGAACTATTTAAATCAGAGATCTGTAGAGGTATTATTTGCACTGCCCTGCAGACTTTTTTATGGTCTGACATTTACAAGCCCAGCCCAGATTTTTTAAAAATGAATTCCATTTATATTTATAGCAAATAGCGATTTAAAACATCCAGTTAAAATATATGGCCCAGCCTGGGTATTTTTTTTAAAAAAAATCGCGGAAGAGAATAAGGATGGAAAGATTATGATTGGCCTAAATTCTAATAAAACCCAAATTTTGGCTTCAGATTGTCTACCATTCATTTAGCACAAATCTACACAATAAAAAAAACCTTTCTTGATTTTAGTGAAATTATTTTATTATTCAGTACATCAGCAATGAATTAAATTAAAAAAAACGATTTATTCAATTAGGAATTAGTGCTAATGAATGGGCTAAAAACAAATCAAATAATTTTGACATAAGGATACAAAAATATTTTATTTCACATGACATCGCTAAATTCTACTTTAATATACACATAGATATAAATATTATCGGGTTTGATTATTATGTACTATATAAATAATTTACATGATTTAATGGTCAAATGTTAATAAAAAAGAATTCCCTGAATTTTATAATATAAAGTATTGCATATGGGTCTATTTCTTTGCTGCTGCCTTCTTCTTATGTGATTTTGCCCTTTTCGCCTTTGGTGCTTTTGCCGTTTTTGGCTTGGCTAGATTTATTTAAAAAAAATTTAAAATTAGGGTTAGTTTTTAAAAATTTTTTAAGTCATTTATATTTACAATCTTAGCCAAATTAAATTAATAATGAAAATTAAATTACTGGCTTTTTTCTTGTGCGCTCTCGGTTTTGCTCCCGCTCTCTTTTTAGCAACAGCATGTGCGGCTGCTGGCTTTTTGTGGTGAACTGCAGCTTTCCTTTTGGAGCCTCCGCTCTTTCGCTTACGGTGAACTACCTTTTTGGCCGTTACGGCGACATGGTGTGTTGGATGATGACCGGCTTGCTATTTAGTTTTTTTAAAGAAATTATTAAAATTCAATTTATGATATATTTTAGAAAAATATAAAATTTTTACCAATTCTACGTCCGACATTAAGAATGTTAAATATCGTAAAATTTGGTTTTTTTAAAAAAATTTAAAATTTGTGTATTGGTTTAAAATATCTTTTTTTTTATTTATATATGATCGTGCGAACCTTTCCGAAACCCTTTATGATAATTTTTTTTTTTCGATTAATAAAAAAAAATTGAAAATTTTTGTGTTTGTTTTACGGTCTTTAAAAGCCGATTTTTGCGAGAAAATATAAAAATTTATGTTGCGATAATGCATTTAATCGTGGGCCTTCTTAGGATCTTTCTATACAAATAACAAAAAATAGAAATAATTAATCCTCAATGGGAATAATATCCACTTTTTTGCCAGGTTTTAAATTAAAAAACCGCAAAAAATTTCACTCAATTCAATTATTTTCAGATAAAACTTATAAAATTAGCAGAAATTTGTTGTTAATCGTGTAGAACATTTAATAAGCTATCCAACGATACCAAATTTGCTAAAATTTATTCCATAAAATCTTTAAAATTAAGCGTCATAACATTTCATTTTAAAACAGATTTCGAAATTATACTCCTAGCTTGCGTTTATTTTAAAATCTAAATTTGGTAAAACTTATCTATATAATTTAGACAACTCTTTTTATTAATAAATACGTATTTATATTCAATTAGTTATTTCATATTTTGTTGTTTTCTAAGAGTTATCAAAAAAATGATCATCTTTCATCAAATTAAAGCATAAATATTTTTCTCTCTCTCCAAGTACAATTATTACATTAGCACTTATTTTAAACTTAAAATTTCGATGTAACCGGGATCTTAATTATGTGGGATTTGGGCTCGGTCCTTCCTAATAAATTATCCCTCCCACAGAATTTCTAAAATTAAAAAAATAATTAAATTTTGATTATAGAATTTTATAATATGAAATTGAATATAGTAAGAGGCCTTTTGCCTTATTTTCTATAATAATTTTTTTATAATTAAATATGGGTATCATTTAAATGCTTTTTTAATTCAAATGCTCAGCTTTAAATTAACTGAAAGTGCAGTTTTTAATTAAAATTTCTTAGTTTTTAATTAAATAAATGCCCTGCTAAATTTAAAATTGCTCCGTTTTATCAAATGAATAGTTTTTTAATTAAAATATGTGATTCAATTATTAAATATCTTCTCAAACTTATTTATAAATAATAATATGAACGCAAGCCTATCTTCCTATTCCAAACTAATCTAAGAAATCATTGGTTTGCTGACTCTAAATTTGACTAATTATTTTTTATAATTAAATTAACTGTATTTAATTGTTACTCATAACCGTATCAAAATTTTCCTATAGGAGGGGCACTATTAGGCCTGATTTTCCGCTATATATTATATTAGAGGTGTTTAAGCACTTATTATAAACCTTTGTTTTGGCTATGTTATATTTTTATTTATAAAAATTGGGCTTTTACTTTTTTTTTATAAAAAAGCTCTTTTTCACCAAATTTTGAACTGTAATCGCTATTTTAAAAAATTACTAACATTTATTTATTTTTCTTTCAAATTTTTGTTTAGTGATATATTGTATACATTGGGGAAGGGGGGTTTAAAATTAATTTAAGCACTTTTGTAGATGCGCATCATTTTTTAGATTTAAAAGATACGATAGAAAAAAGGGATAAAATCTTGTAAAATGTCTAAATATTGTTAAAATTTATAATAAATACAGGGAAGGTGTAAATCTCATGGATTCTTTACTCTCGTTATATAGAATTCATATTAAATTAAGGAAATGGTATATAATTCGATTTCATTTATTTGACATGTTGCTCATCAGTAACAGTATCAATAACACGAAAGGAGCAATTTAGCTTATATTCAAAATTCTGTGAAAGAAGTCCTTTGCAAATATTGTAAAAACACATCAAATAGTATACCAAAATGTAATCGGTTTAAACTGGTTATCGTAAGAAAAATAAGAAAGGGCCTACCCAATATTTACCAAATGAGGAGGTTAAAAAGACCTCAAGGCTAATTGGCCCAAATATAACGAAAAGAAGAGAAGATGTAAACTGCCAAAATGCCTATTTACAACAAAAGTAGCGTCAGAAATGTGGAGTTAATGTTTTACACCCAAACATAGTTGTTTTATAGATTTTCAAATTAAATAATTTGAACGTTGAATATTTGTTGTTTTTAATTAAAGTTTATCCTGGACCCTAACCATTATGCATATAGGATCCAGCTCGTTATGTTTCAGGGGGGAAATATAATGGTTCGGTTAGGTTTCAGTTGCCTAAAATTAAGGTTTAAAAAAAATTAAAATATTTTTTTAAAGTTTTGTAATATTTAGTTATATTTAAAAAATTTTACTAAAAAAAAGGCATACGAAAACAAAGACGATTTTTATGTTTTCTAAAAGTATAGAATTTATATTTATACGCTGTGATTTAGAATAAATTTTTCCTGAGAAGGCCCTTTCAACTGAAACTTGTGTTGCGTAAAACTAGCTGGAATAATTCAGGATGGATTTTTTTTTTCAAATCCCAGTAGGCCATTTTGGAAGTATCTGGATTCTTTCAATTTTATCATATAAATTAATTTTCAATTTCAAGTCCCACATCAAATTTTGAGACATTTTAAGAAATCAATAATTTTCTCATTTTATCATCTCAATTTATTTGATTTGAACCTTCCATAGTAGGCCGGTAGTTATCAAATATTATGGTCTAAGTTATATTTTTTATATAAAACAAAAGGTTTTAAACCAGTTCAAAAAATATTATAATGGTTCGATTGCTCTTTTTATCGATTTACTAAAAAGGGTCGGTTATAGTTATGGGTCAGAAGATTATATAGGTTCGTTCTGGTATAACCGTTTGATTCGCTCCGGGTTCCTCATATATATATTATATATAGATTATAGTATAATAAAAATGAGGGGAAAAATTTAAAATATATATCCCTTAATTGCATAATGTTTATTTTGTTACACGGTACCATTCATCTTCTACGAATTTTAGAATTATTTTAAAAAGTTAGTGAAAAAAATTTAGTTTATCAAAACAAATTTTTCTAACATAATATTATGAAATACAGGGTTAATTAATCATATTTACTAGAACAGGCAAATTTATAATGGAGGAAGAAATTTTCCACCCCTTGATCACGGGCTTAATAAACTGTTTTCATATATTTTATCATAACTTATCACAAAGGCCAAATAGATTCAATTTTTGTTGTTTTTATAGCCAAATTCTTTATTTCTATTAATTCCATATGCAAAAATGTTAAAATACTATATATTAAATTGCGTTTTATGATCAAAATAATAGAAATAAGAATATAAAAAATAAATTAAATGGTTATGGTGAAAGTATTATTTGAGAGTTGAATATTGAGCATTCATTTTGAGCATATCTACAAAATATAACTTGATTATATAAATCAGAGACATGCAGGCCCGGCCCTGCTCCGGGTACACGGGCCAGGCTGTATTTTTTTTAATACCCGGACTGGGCCTAAAATATATTTTAAGAAAATACCTGGGCCGGGCCGTTTATTTTAAAACTCGAATATTTTAAATCGCCACTATTAACTTTAGAAATATATTTCAAAAAAAATTCGGACCGGGCCTTGCAGATGGTATCTCTGCAGGTCTCTAATATAAATAATAGTTTAAAATTTTATTTTAAAAGGCTACAACTTATGTTATAATTGACCAGAGTTGGAAAAAGAAATTTAATATAAAGTAAGGTTTAACTTTTTTTAGCCTTCACTGATCTTCCACTTTATCTATTTTGCCCTATAAGGGTATCCTTTGCATATGGAGGAGGTTGGAAGCAGTTTAATCTAATGGCTAAATTAAATATTTGCCCATGTAAGATTGAAAATACAGAATAATTGAATATAAAAATGTTCCTTTGTTTAGAATCTTTAGGGATAAACTCAAGGCTTTTATTTAGAATTTTTCAAAATCAGTCCAATTCAAATTTCATGGGTAATCAACCCGATAATTTTTCCGCCCGATTGATAAATTTTGACTACTGAATGAACATTCTAGTGCTAATATTTCCTGAGATGTTAATTAGTCAAAATGCCATAAGTGGCCCGTTTGAAAAATACGAATTTTTAAAATTGAGGAAAGTTAAAAATAAGGATGCTTAAAATAAATATGAGGTATCATTTATAGCTCTACATTTTATAAATATTTAAGTTTTTTTAAAATAATAATTATAAGGAATACGTTATTGTCCAAATTTATTAAAATTTAATATTTTATTATTCATTACATATTTAATTTTAAAAATTGTGGGACAGTGGGTTTTTTAGTTATTTTGTTTTAAAAAATAGATGGCGTTTAAAACATGAAGAAGATTTCTCAACATTAATATCAGATGTTATTTAGCTGTGATTATAATCGGTGTAATATTTTAAAATTGAATTTTCAAAAAATTATTTTTTTTAAACTCCAAATTGAAAGCCTGTGAAATATTTCAATAAAAAAAAGTTGATATTGTTAAAGTTTTTATATCAGTGATGATATTAGTAGGCTATTATTACCAGGGGAAAAAATAACATATCTATCATTGAATAAAGTGAAGTGGATGTACTAAAAAGGTTAGATCTTAATATATAAGAAGTATGTAATATTTTGAGAGCAACTAACTTAAATTGTATTTTAAAAAATTTATAACTTTAAGATCCAACATTTCATATTAGCAGGGGATAAGGAACAAATAGTGTATATGCGCTTGTATAACCAGAATATTAAACTTTTGTTTTTGTGCCATATATTGGCGATATTGACTAAAAATTATAAAACTGAGGATATATTAACAACTTATAGAAGATATTATAGACAGATATATTTGGAATCCCTCTTTAACCACCTGTTATTTTGGTGACTGCAGGTAGTGTCTTGGCTCTGCCCTTTTAAGTGTACATTGAAAAATTATTTATAAAAAGTGATATTACCTTTATTACTTTTAAACAGTGGGTTTCGTTCGATTACAACAGCACTAGATACTATGACGAATTTATTAATTATTTATTTGGTTATATTCTCATACACTAATTTATTTGTGAAAAACAAAATTCATTTCACAATAGCCTTTTGGCTACCACTGGAAGCTTTTCCTTAAAAATACAAACTTTTCCAACTTTTGATTTTTAAAAACTAAATTTTAATTTTTTTTTAATTTCGCGATTTAAAAAACTTATTTATTATTTTTCATAGATATGAAAGTTATCAAATATTTTTTTTAGGTTTTGGACAGCCATGTGAGAAAGATAAATTATAATGACTAAAACCTGGTATATTGCCAAATAATCTTATTTAATTAAGGTTATTTCTGATAAATTTTTAATTTCCAAGAAAACGCCATATATTTAAAAAATATATTTACTAAAAAGTAATTGGCTCTTATTTGTGCGTGTGTTTGTACAGATTTTTATTCACAGATTTTACATAGTATTTTCATATTTTGTGAAAGTAAATGTCATCGCATAGGCCTATTCTTAAATTTTTGAGTTTATGCATTTCGATTTCTAACACTCCACCTTTTTTGTGGATATTTTTCTAACACTTTTCCATCTTTTGTGTATTTATATCAGCGACCTGTAGAGTTACCATTTGCACTGCCCGGCCCTAAGGTCCGACCCAGCATTTAAAAAAAGAAATTACAGACCCGCCCGGATTTTTTAAAAGTATATTATTAGTTTTGATTTTTATAGCTAATAATGACGATTTAAAATATTAGGTTTTAAAATATACGGCCTGGCCTGGATTTTTTTTAAAAAAAATTTTCAGGCCCTGCTCGTGTATATTTAAAAAAATTAAAATACGGCCCGGTCCAGCCCTAAACCAGGGTCTCTGATTTATATTGTGTGTAGGCCTATTTAAAAATGAATCAATACGAATAATAAAATTTGCTATCTATATTCGATTCGAATAATTCTTTTTTAAATATAAAATAATTCATATAAAAATATAGCGATTAATAATAATCTGCTGAAAGATCAGTTTATTAGCAAAATTTAAATGCTTATTAATTTATTTAAAATGTCAAGCCAATTTTTAAGGCAGTTTTTCTTATTGTTCCTTCTTTATAAAATATTCGATTACAGCAAATTAGTGCCAACTCAGAAAACCCCGCAAAGGTAGTTGATGTACCTTCTTAGTTCTTAATCACATCCGTTCAGTAGGTTCTATACAAATGACAAATCATTTCATTTTATTAAAAAACATAATTATTATTCCAAATAATTCGATTTTAATTATTCAAATAATTTAATTCAAGTAGAACAAATCATTTGAATAAATATAAATTATTCGTATTTGTAATTATTCGATTAGATTTATTCGAAATGAAACTAATTTAATTGGCTATGATTTTTTTTTGACGGTAAATCTATCAAAATTGGCAGTTCTTTTATTATCAACAAATTAATCTTTTGGGCAATATTTATATATTTTTTAGCAGTAAATTAATCAAAATGGGAATTATAAAGTAAAATTATCCATAATTATTTTAAAGTTGTTTAGTATTTTATACAAATATCTTTTTATTATAAGTTTATCAAGTATATTATTTTTTTCAGACGTTGCCCGGCCGGGCCCATATCAATCTCATCTAATCAACTAAAAATGGTCCCACATTATATAATATGGAAATTTTATTAACTAAATACATAAGATATTTCAGTAATATTATATGAAAATTAACTTCAAAATTAAAAAATTAGTAAATTTACGACATAAAATATAGTATAGAGGTGGATAATTGAAGTTTTTATTTCACATTGTTTCATTAAGCAAATCCAAATGAAAATAATTTACAACATTACACATAAATAATTTAAATAAGATAGGACGATTACATGTTACTTTGCCCTAATCTTTTGGTAGTTTTACAAACTAGATTAAATTTTTAACAAATTTATCTTATTAATCATCAATGTCTTTATCAATTGATGCAATATTTTTGTTTAACGCTTAAATATCCATAGCAATAATTAGCAAATGGGAGAACTGTAAAATATCTCTTAAAGTATTGCCATCATTGATTATATTTATTTGCCTATAATGCATAATTGGTATTAAATTATAATGTGTTAGTTTTAACTAACCATTTAGTTTTAAAATATTTAACAACTATTTATTTTTCAAAAAATAATTTGGAGGCTTTATTAAAAATTAAATTGGATTTGAGCTAATTGTAATTGATTGATATCATCTAATCTCTACTTAATATAATTGATTGATATTATCTATAATATCAACTTAATGTAATTTGGTGCTAGAGATGAATCTTTTAAAATAGATTTCTATAAAAATGAGCGAAACGCATGAGAATTGACATTTCTTATTAAAAAATTTTCCGAATAATTTGTCTTAATTTTAATTTGTTTATATATGTGCATTTTGTAAAAGCTTAATAAAAATCTCATAGTTACTAAATAATTTCAAAAAAAATAACCGCGAAATTTTAGTTATTTTACTTTTATTGATGTTATTCACCAATGCCAATTTGAATTAAATAATACAATTACTTTAAATGAAAACGTTAAAATATCAAACAAACAAAAATCTTATAAAATTATGGCAAATTTCCCAAGGGCACCGATTAATTTTTGCGTGACTCCCGATGATTTTATATGCAAAACAACTATTATACACATAAACACGATTTAACATTCTCTCGCAATTTTTTAAAAATTACATTCACGAAATACTTGCCTTGCACCTTTGATTTAAAAATAAATGATCACTTTGATTCCCTTAAAATTTATTCTCCTTTTTTATATTGCACGTGTGAAAATTGAGATTTCATTCACATATGCGTAAACACCTCAGGTTATTTAACCTTCCTGCCTGTTCATTCCATCACGAGAGTCCGCCACTGATTCCCACTCATCTACATTACTAGTAGAATAATTCTTTAATAATTATTATTTTATTTTATAATACTTTCCAATTATTTTATTGATTTTTTTGATACGATAGAAATTTTTTTATTTAATTGAAAAAAATACAAATATAATTTTTTTTTATTATGGTAATAAAATTAGGTCGCTCAGAAAATGGATGAGGAGATACTCTATTATACACGATTTTTGAAGCGTATGAATGTGGATATGGAACATTATTTGAGAACTCAATTTTTCCCCTCTTACAAGGAGAACAATGATTTTGATTCGAACCTTAACAACTATTCGAAAGATTTTTGCTCTTCACCGATAATTGCTAATTCCGTGTAATTTTTTTTATTATTTTTAATTAAACTTATCTAATGAATATGAGAAAAATTTTAGGCTTCGCTATAATCTAAGATTTAATTTAGGCATGTTTTTAATTTAAAGCACCATTTATAATCTTTGGAAATTTTTAATAAATTTTTATCAGGGACCTGGGGAAACTTTTGCTTTCTACTTTTAGCCAAAAAAGATCCCTTATGACTTTCGGAACGTTCCTTGAAAAAAATTAATATATTATCTAAATAATTACCATTATTTATGGGTGATATTTGTTAGTTTAAATTCAAATGAAGTCCATCTAAATTTAAAGTGTTATATTTTATAATACTAATTTCATTACAAACAAGAATTTTTTTTATATTTCATATAAAAAACGTTCTATAAAAGTAATCGCATGATTATTTATTTTTATCGGTTATTTTCACCTTTTATGGTGGTTAGCTCTATGATGATTATTACAATCATTTATGCATACACAATATTTATTTATATTTTTAACATGCTTGCCTACCACCCCCCCCCCCCACACCTTTCAATGCAGTCCATTTTTAGTTGTGAAACTTTAGATAACATTTTATTCTTTCCTACTATATACTTTCGACATAATCATCCACCTCCAGGTTTCTTTTTTCTCTAATAATAGCTTTGCGGCGACACATTTTCTCCAAAATTATTGACCATTTATAACTTGAAATCTAAAATTAAATTTTCTACAGCAATGTTTGCAAAGCCATAGGCATGGATTGGCATTACAATCAATTATTTAAATAATCAATAATTATAACCACGACCCCAAAACCCATGGGTATATTTTATAGAACTCCCCTTTAACTTCTTCTTAATAAATATCTGTTGTACCCACAACATAGCTCTTTAATAGGCCGTATGAATGAGATATAAATATAATATTTATAATATGTATTAAATTAACATTATGTTTCATATAATTTTTTCGGAATGTTCGGAAAAAGGTTTCTGAATATCTCTTCCCATTTATTTTCTTCAAAGTTCCATTCCAGGCCCTTGATTTATTTTTACTATTGTACAAAATAGAGATGGTAATGTTACGACAATTGGAAACGCCTATGTAATTGGGAATATAAAATCGGGTATTATTGCAAACAAACATGAATTGGTGAATTCAATATCTGACATATTTAAATTAAGTATGTTCATTTAATTTTCAAACTCAATAATTAATTACCTAAATCTGCTTTTATATATTATATGTATTCAAGCCGGCTTAAAAAATTTTTGTACCTTGGACATAATGTAATTTACCTCCCTTCCCTACTCAACTAAAAAAAATACATATTAATAATTATATTTCATAATACGAATTCCTGTCCCAATTTAGAGAAAAAATAATTACCAACATTCCACTCCTTAGATAAACACTATTATAAGAAATAAGTCAAGTTTTCATGCTCAACTATAAGTAAATTAAAATTAATGCAAATTATTAAATTTTCATAAAAAATATCTCAAAAATGGCATGTTAGCTATAATTATAACCAAAAATATTAAATGGAACAGAACTAGTATCTCCCCTGATAATGATCTGGGTAACAAAGTTTATCGGTACGTTTATACGGGGAAATGGGGGGAGGGCTCGAATAATTTACTTGCGTTCTTTTCTGGGTAGGTTGTAGACTAACATGTACTGAATAAATGAATTTATTAGACTAAATAATGAATTGCTGCCCCTGAAAATTATCTAATTTTATCTCTCCGGAGTATCCGATCAGTCCGCACATTGGGTATGCTCAGTGTTTATGAGATCGTATATAGCTGATATGTTAATTTAATGAGAATATGATTTTAAATATTTTAAAGATTTGATATGAAATTAACTAATATGTTCTTTAACTCTGCGGTCATTTTATAAAAATGGTTAGAAACTAATTTCTGTATCGCCTAATCATTTATAATGTTTTCTTCCCTTCATTAGAAACCGCCAAATCTATTTTTATTGATGCTACTTAACACATATTAAAACCCGGCTCTCCCTCACTTTTGATTTATATCGACAACAAAATGGCACATGTGTTAAACATTATTTGCCAGTATTCTAAAAAAATATTGAGGGAGTTATTGTGAAAGTAAGAATGATTACAACAAACATTTCTAAAAGTCTATTATTACTTCAAAAATATAGACCTCTACTTAAAGATAATGGGATTGGAAAAAATTCCAACTGATTTTGAAACCCCCTGGAATTCAACATATTTGATATTGGTGAAGGTCCTTACAGTAAATTAATTTCTCCTTATTTAATAGGATTATATTTATTTTTTTATTGCTAGAATTTGGATACGATAAAAACTGTGTTATTCTGAATTTGATGGCATTGCCCTAACAAATGACGATAAATTAAAATAGAGGAACTAATTCCTTTATTAAGAGGAAGCTGAGAACGATGATGTTAATAAAATCCAAAGATATTTATTATTTTATATCCAATAAATTCCAACATAATGGGAAGGAAATCAATAGCGATTTCCAATTCTGACCAAAATAAAGATGGACTATCTCTCAGCAAGCTACGTCAGTTATCATGTAAACGGATCCTTTCTAAAGCTAGTGATAAAATATCAAAAAACGAAATGTAATGAATCTAAATATGGTTCAATCTTTAATGACACTTGTGGATAAATAATGGAATTATTTTTGATTTTTTTTAGAAGATAATTAGAATATTTATATATAAATCAATTTTATTTTATAATCAAGTCACATTATATATATCAGAAACTAGGGCTGTGCCGACATTAAATATCAGATCGGTACCGATATTTAGCGTTTTTAAAAAATATCGGTTCGGGCCGATATCTGCAAAAAACCCTTCCGATTTTTTTAATTTTTTTTGTTTTTATGTTATGTATATTTAATAAACATTATCATAACGGTTTGACTAAACTACAAATGCTAAGGTAAACTGCAAACGCTTAGGTAAAAATAGATAAAAAAATTTGTTATATTCTCTCTTAATTGGAGCGAAGTTCATTTTCTCATTCTATAAATAACTTATAAAATTATATTCTTAGACATATTCAATAATAAATGAATAGACATTAATAGTTGTTTTTCCTTTTATCTCGTAATAAAGAGTTTAAATCCTTTAGTATAATTAAAAATAATTATAATTACATTTAAAATTTCATTAATATTAAATCCGCAAGTTGGCGTATTATTATTTAATGAAAATTTTTTATACTAATATGCCAACTAGCGGATTTTATATTATTGTAATTTAAAATGTTATTAAAATACTTTTTTTAAGATAATTATATTAATAGATTTAAACTATTATTAAGAGACAAAAGAAAATACAATTATTAATGTCTATTCATTTATTATTGATTATATCTATAATAATATAATTTTTATAAGTTATACATATCATAAGAAAATGAATCTTACTCCAATTAATAGAATATATATCAAAAATTTTTACCTAAGCATTTGCATTTTACCTTGGCATTTGCAGTTTATCTTAGCATTTGCAGTTTATCTTAGCATTTGCAGTTTATCTTAGCATTTGCAGTTTAGTCAAACCAAACCCTTATCATGATATTTTTTAAATAATTTTTTTTTAAACAATTTTTTTTAAACAATGCAAATGCAACATCTCTAAATTTTATTTCTTTGTAAATAGATTTATATTATTTAAAAGTTTTCTTTATAAAATTAGCAGAGTTGTTAAAGGATCTAGATCCTATATCTAGATATAAAAATGTGGTATCTGTATCTAGATAGATTTTTGATTAAAATATCTGTATCTAGATATTATTTTAGACGATGTATCTGTATCTAGATCCATTTAAAAATTATCTTTTAACAACTCTGAAAAATAGAAAGGAATACCCAAAGTTTTTTTTTATCTTAAATCTTTTTAAATAATAACGCCGATTTAATACTTTAAATAAAAGAATTTTTTTAAATATGGTATCTGAATTAGAGGTGGGCGCGGGCCTATTTTTTATTCATGGCCCTCCCACTTACGGTGGTAATATCACGCTTACCACTAAAAAAATTTTGACCCGACCCGCCCGCTCACGAAAGGCAATATTTTAATTCACGCACGTCACGCCCGAAAATTCACGGTGTTTTTAAATTTTTCAAAATTGGTAACCTATAATTATACACTTTTTTGAATTTATTCTATTTATTTCTATAATTCCATAACAAAAAATAAATACAATTTATAAATCGAAATTTTTATTTAAAAAAAGAATAATATCCATGTTTTTTTATTTTAATTGAGTACGCCTTTCCTCCAACAAGCGATTGGCTACAGAAAACAATCTTTCACTAGATGCCGAACTTGCAGGGGCGGATAAAATTTTACTCGCTAATTTTTTCAAAAAAGGAAACGAATTTTCATGCTTCCAAAACTTCAAAATACTATCATTATTATTTGTCTTCTGAGCGATGAATCTTTTAAGTTCATCCTCGCAGCTTTCTTCGATAGATGGTGAGGGTTCATAAGTATCATCTAGAAATTCTCTAAATGTTTCATTTAGAATATTAGGTTTCTTGTGAGTGTAGGACGAATTATGACAGCTAATAGTTGGCTTTGGCATTGACTTATTCATATCATATTTTATGACATTTAGCATTTTTATGGTAGTTTTATATATATCGTTTTTTTTTTCTTCTGATAAAAACTTAAGGCTTTTGAAATTGGGATCCAAAATTAAGCCTACTTTATGTAGGGGCTGCATGATGAATCTTTCTTTTAAAAGACATCCAGTCCTGATTTTTAAGGCTTCTATTATTGTTGTATCCCCTTCAGAGGGTTGACAAAACTTTAATAATTTTTGTCTCCACAGATAAACTTCATTTATTGTGGGATGAGAATCGGCACTCAGATTTTCCGAGCATTCTTTAAATATTGATAAAAAAAATTCTAACTGCCGTAAGATGGTAATATCAACAGTGGCTAGTCGATTTAATTCTTGCTTGCTAAGCAAGTACACCTGAATTTCGGAATATGATTTTAAGAAACTCTGTATCATGATATATACAGAGTTCCATCTAGTTATCACATCTTGTTTAAGAGTGTAGCCTAGTTTGCTGTTAGCTGTTGATTGTTTGAAATACTGTACTATTTTTTTCACACCATTTATATTTACAGCTATTTCATGTAAACAATTATCAAAAATGTAATGCATAATGTTGTTTAATATATGGCATATGCAGGGTAGCCTTTCATCATCTTTAAATGCACATATTAGGTTTGCCCCGTTATCAGTTACCACTATACATTTACTTAAATAATTTTCTATGTCTGTGTATTCTTCCAAAATTGAATTTACTATAATTTTGATATTGACTCCTGTTTTTTTTTCATCCATTACCCTTGTAGCCAAAACAAATGATTTTAATTCAAAATCCTTATTGATAACATGCCCAGTAATAGTTAAAAAACTACGATTTTTATACTCATCTGTCCAAAAGTTGGTGGTTATGGACAAGTAATTGTTTTTGATCAAGCTTTTTATCTTAATTTTAATTTCTTCATATATTTTTGGAGCTACTGTATTCATAAGAGTTTTTCGACTAACAAGTATATCTTTTATATTTTGTTGTCCATATGTAACACCAACATTAATTAACTCTTGACCAAGCTTATAAAATCCTTCACTTTCTGTAGCATTTAAAGGTCGTAGATCTTTACATATAAAATATAACTGATTTTTTTGTAAAACTGCTTTTGATTTATCTGACATTTGTCTTTTAAACGTATTATATATTGTCTGATCAGAATGTTTTTTTGTATTTTTTATGACACATTTATGTCTTAATAAACTGGCAGTACCTGTTTTACATTTATATGACATCACGTTTTGGCAACTTGTACATTTTACAAAATTTTGTAAGGTACCTTTATAATAAATTGTTAAGAAATTATCCCATATCTTGCTTTTTCTGTTTTCTGGAGCTTTAAATTCAATATCAATGTCTTTCCTTCTTATTTTAGTTAACATCTCTGATTTTGAAATCATGTCCATCTCAATTATTTCATTATTATTAACATTATTATCTCCTTCTCCACTGCTTTGTGTATGATTTTCCTCTTCAAGGTCGCTTAAAATCATTTATTTAATAAATAAAGAAGGAATGAATTAAGTATTTTTCTAAAATTATTTAAACCAAAGATTATATTAAAAAAATTAAGACCATTTGTTTAAAATTTAAATAATATATTAGAAAAATATATCATGTGATTTTCCTTAGCCTGATTAATAAAAAGGTATAAACCAAAATTAATAAAACAAGATTTTAAATTATATGAGTAATGTTTGAAATTTTTAAAATATTTGTTAACTATATTTTAAAATATATATATAATCCAAATATGCAACTTTATTTATGACAATTATATTGAGTATGTTAGATTTGTTGGTAAATATGAGAAAATTTAAACAATGAGTTATATTAATTTCGAATCATTATTATTTGAGGGAAAATGATTAGTATAAATAATAAAGATAAATGAAAATAAAACATATTTAAATTTATGTATTACCATATTTCCATTGATTTATTATTTTTCATTGGTTGTTGTATTTTGTTGGGTCTAATAGTACTCTAGATCTTTGAGTTTAATTGTTAATAAAGAAATACTTATTATATATTAATATAATATTATAAATTCTACTCCTTCACTACTCATACATTACATTAAAGCATTTATTACAAATAATAAAAAGTAAAAACTTTCAATGACATTTGTAAATACTAAAATTTATAATTTAATGCGAAGAATTACATTTTCATTGTAAAATAATATATATAATAATAAAATACTTAAAAGAAGATGACCATAAACATGTAAATAAGCTTGTTGATAAATTTGATTTGAATTTGAACATATAAATTTTAAAAGAAAAAGCTAGCAAAAGTAAAAATAGGTTCACTCGGATGTTGTTTATAAAATGCGAAAGATTTTTTGTTTTCAAAAACTAATCTTTTTTTTAAAAAAACTAAATTAAATTAAATAATAAATAAAATATATATTTTTTAAAATTATAAATTTGCAAATTTATATTAATAAAAAACAATTTTAAAAATTAAAATTTCCGTGATTTATGGAAATTTGTGTTCACGCCCACTCACGCACGGGAAAAATTTTGGAAAGGCCCGTCACGCCTAATAATTTAAAATTTCTTCACATTCACGCCGCGTAATTTCACGGCCCGCGCCCACCTCTAATCTGAATTATAGAAATATTTTACAAAAGACAAAGATAATTTTGCAAAATGCGTTATCTGCGGAATCATCTGTGTCTGCCTTCAGTATGGCATGGGATATAGATAGTCCATATCTTAGAAGTTTATTGCCAAAAAATCTAAAGGCTTTATTTAAAAAGTCTAATATATTATAATTTTATATATTAAATATTACAATTTTATAATTCATACCAACATAAAATGGATATATTATTAATATATATATTTTTTAATTATAGTCTTAATTGTAGAAATAAAAAAATTAATTAAATGCATAATTCGATTTTTTGCATAAAAAATATTGATTTCTTAATTATAATTGGTTCAAAAGGGGGTGGTAAAAAATCAGTAATATCGGATCGGTTTTCAAGAAATATCGGATCGGTGAAAAATATGTGGAACGGCATAGCCCTGTCATAAACTAATTAAATATGCAAATTGATTTTATAGCTTAACAAAAAACTCATTTATATAGGACCAGATTGGACCGGCGGTCTGGTCTCACTTGACTTAACTTTACCACGGTCCAGTCTCATTCTATAAAAAAGGATTTGACGAAGCTGGACCGTTGCAAACACTACTCATCAATTAATAGAAATAAAAAGTTTTGTGGCTTAATTTACATATTAGCCATTTTACCCCGAAAGACTTGCCATTCTTTTCAGGGTCGTTGGCAATTAGTAAGCATGACTTTTACTCAATTAAATAGCGCTAACACTATAAAATGTAGGAAGCCCGGTGTTAAAAAATATTTTTTACATTTGTATTGATTTCAATAAAATTGCTACTACAGCCTACATTTTGATTATGCGTTATAGATTGCATTTGTTATTAAATATTACCGTCTGCTCATTAGATGAAACAGCTATAGGCATTAGGCAATATTAATAAAAAAATTCAGTTGTGTTTTATCTCATATTTTTTATTTTTTTGAGAAATACTTATAGATTCCAATCAGGAATTTTTAGTTTATTCCACCATTATGACTAATTTTATTATTAATTATTACGGTCATCACTTTTGCCAAATATTGGAATAATTAGATTTGTAAAGCACTTAATTTTCCCTGATAAATCTATTTTGCCTCCACATTTTCAGCACCAACGCATCACATATTGTCTTTTTTATCTTTCCTATCATTTGACAAATAACATACTTCAATATAATTTATTGTGTCCATTAATTTTTGATTATAAATATTTTGATAAATTCAATCCCTCTTGCTATAAGATACAATACATTTAAACATTTAAAAAAATTTATATTTAGGTCTTGATCGCAATGATAATCCGAATGCTTTTAATTTATTTTTCACTTTTATTGACTCCGGAACTACCGTAATCTATCCCTCATTTTCTTCAGAATTGTCAAAGATTGAACATTGTGAATTTGAAAATTTTCGGCAGCGCTATTTGTACATAATATAATTTTATAACATTTTTATGAATATGATTAACTAATGTTGTACTCGCACTTCGAGTTTGAACCTTTTGGAGCCAACTTCAGGCAAATTAAATACAAAATTCACCAGGAAATAATGGTTGAGATTAAATTTAGAATTGCTAAAATTTTATAATATAATTTATGCTTTGTAATAAAATAATTTAATGAAATGTATGGAGTTGTTAAGGATATTTTTTAATATATCTAGATACAGATTCAGACCCTGAAAAGTTTTCTAGATATAGATACAATTTTTTTAAGATACAATATTTTATTATAAACTCAAATTTTGAAGTGTGTTTCTTTGTATAAATTATTATAAAATACTGTAAGTTTTTAATAAGAAAGAATTACAAAAAAATGCATAAGTTATGAAAATTTAGCAATTATTTAGTCTCATACCATAACAATTTTCCCCCTAAATTTTATTTTTACTCAATATCAATTTATAACGGTATAGCAGAATAGAAATCGGAGTTACCTTGAGGCTTAATTCGACTTAGTCCTTAGACTCAAGCCGATTTTTTCTCTTGAAACACGACAAGCCATTTTGGAGTTGGCTCAAATTAAGCCATTTTGCAGCACTATGCCATTAAAGCCTCTTAGAATTTAAAATATTATATAAGATTGTTTTGTTTATTTCGTTATTAGGGTTTTCTCATTTTTAACATACATATATATATTTTTTAGCCCCCCACTCATTTCCACAATAAATGAATTAACTGTTAAATACTCAGTTTTCCTTATCGACATACTGCCAATTTATACTTTGGTAAATAACTCTAATTTTTTGGATATATTAGAAATAATCAACATCTTGATCGATTTTCATGGTGGCCAAGATAAAGTAAAATATTTATCTCCTTTTTGTTTAGTTGTCATATTATAATATAAACAGACATAATTTATATAATTATTTAATCTTGAAAGTTAGCAATCTTGATATATGATTCCTCCTCTCAATCCATCATCGAATATTCTCAATTTATAGGACTTTACAATGAATTTTTTTACCAATCTCAATGCTCTAATGATTGGGATATCAGCTTAATTCACCAAAATCGTTCAGAATCAAATCTTAGAATACAATATCCTCTTAATGAAATTTCTAAAAAGAATTTGAAGCGATTTGTGAGTTACACCTTGTTTAACATTCTCCTTGGTTATAATGCTACAAAACCAATATCTAAAGAAAAATATCTAGATAATGATTTGCATCGATTATTAAATGAAGCCTATCAAATATTGCTGCACGCCATGAATAATGATATTGAGACTCCTTTCGTAGGTTTATATTTTATTTCACATCACCATACTACTTACTGTATTTAACATATCAAATTTTTTAAACATACACTATTTATCAGAGTCCTTATAGACTCGGCCAGGAACGGCCCGAAAAATGGTATGATTTTAGAAATCAGAACCAGGCTTAAAAAATTTATAAATCCGGGCCGGCGGCCCGTCTTTAAGGAATATATTTAAATCTATACTTTTTTATGAACAAATTAGGTGATGCCTATATTCATTATATCACATCACGAAAAGTTTTTTCTCCTATCCAAACCACCAGAATGCTAAAAATATTAAGCAAATGGAAACGAATCAAGTCATTGGTTAAGATCAACACAATAGCGGTATCACTTGACAATAACTTGGCGAAAAATGGCGAATATAAGGATATTTTAAATGAAAAAAGCGATTTTAAACTTGAGAATGGTTATACTCCTTACAGTTTATTTCTCCAGCGCTTAACTGAACGAATTAAATCGGACGGAGGTGCGATTTTTTTTTAAAATAAATTTTGTAGTAGGCGTATCCTGATTCGTCTTATTTTTGAAGCTTATTTCTGTTTATTCCTAGCTAAGATTTTGAACTGGGACCCTATTTTGTTTTGTTTTAAGTGTGTACATTAAAATATTGCTTGTTATTTATATATTTTTTTGGTACGAATAAAAGACATTTTATATGTAAATCTAAATCTAAATAGCCTCTTTCTTTTGTTTAGAGAAAGCTATATAGACGGCTAAATAGATTACCGTTTAAGAGTAGCCAGGAAACAGCCTTATATACTTTATATTGTTTCTTTAAAATTACATCATTCTATATAGGATTTTTTTTAAAAAAAATAACACAATATTCCGACTAGAGGTTGCAATGGGCAGGGTTCGCCCCCCCCCGTTTATTTGAAAATTTGTTTGGTAGCCCTCTTTATGTTTAAATGATATGATGGTTGGTTTTATTCTTTTTTTATTTTAAATTTTAATATATTTTTAGTTAAACGTGTAAAATATCCAATATTATAAAATATAAAGTTAATATAAACCTGTTTTGCTCGTTTTTCCAAAAAATACTCAAATCCTCTCTCTCTCTCCCGTGGGTAAAGAAAAATGAAAATTTCCAATAAAATATTGATAGGAGAAATTTGGAATAGTATTATTCCAAGCAGATATTTTTTTATGAAATAATTTAAAGCATACCTTGAAATTTGAAATTTAAATGATTTTAATAAGATGCTTAAATAGTTTTAAAAAATGTTTCTCAAATCATGAGAATTTTCAAAGGCAATTTAAATTTTAACACCTCATAAGTACCTTAAATTTTTTACCTTTTTATTAATATGATATATATTGGCATATTATGCATTTAAAAGTGTCCATACATAGAAGTCAGCTCTACCGCAATTTTTAAGTTTGCAAATCGATTATATGCATTAATGTGCATTCATATAATAATAAATAAAGATAAGTAGTCGAAGCGCCAACAATAAAATGACGCTACAGCTGACTCCTATGTATGGACATTTTAATTAACAAATCGCTAATGATTTTTAATAATTTTTTTTTAAGTTATACTCAGACTAAGAATTCTAAATGTTAAACTTATCTCAATTTTATCATATATAAAATTGACAATGAAATGAACTTTTAATTGATTTTAATTGAATTCCTCCTTGAGCAGGTTTTAGCAGGGTACGTATTAGTCTTTTTTAAGCAGGCATTTATTTTAAAATAAATCTCCAACTATATTTTAAGAATACAAAAAGTTACGAGTTTAGGTGTTTTTTATAACTTTTTAAATTTTAATTTTTTTGTAAATTTTATAAAAGAAACTTAAAATTTTAGTTTTTAAATGCATGTCAAGATTAAATTTTAGTTTAATATTTGGAAAATTTGCTTCGTCTATTTTTTGTACATCAATTTATTATATCCTGTCCTTCACCCTGCTATATTTAAAAAAATTTAAGAGAAATTATATAAGAATTGAAATAATGGTTTATTTCATCCCTAATTCTATAAATAATTTCAAAAAAGGAAAACTACGTCAATATGGGTATCAATCTACTACAGCTATATTTCAACCTAATGGGCATTTCTTGAATTTAAATCCGTCTTCAATTTCTCGCAATGCATTTGATCTCAGAAAACTGAGCTTATTAAAAATGATCCAAACTCAGAACATCGAACAAATTCAAAGTGTTTCAATGTCTTTTTCAATAAATTCGCTTGATACCACAAAACAATTTCACCATAAGAACAATTACTCCCATACTAATTTGATTGCATTTAGTATTGCTTCGTTTTCCCATCTCAATAATATGGCTTTTAATAATTCATCGATAGAGTTTAGTAACCGTGAAGCGTGGATTGGTGTAATGGGTGTTAGTATAAATTTCGAAAAGAGCGCATTCTGCCAATATATTGTTTCCGCTAGGGGCCTTGAAGAATTAACATTATATCGAGGAAACCAAATATTTCTAATTGATGTGGAAAGTAATTAAACTATTTGTACTGCGAAAATTTTTAAATAGCAAATCTTTTAAGATATACTCCATTTGCAATTTTGTATTTATTTTTATAATTATTTAAAAAAATATGTTTAGAAATATTCATTTTACACCCACTTATAATATGCTCCGATAAAAAACGTTTTTTCGATTTGGGGCCATTGAATTTGTCATCTTTCTTTGATGTTGCCACAATTCCTTTTCTCCTGATAAAAATGAAAAAGTGGGTGTTATTTTTATATATTTCTAAATATTTATAATATTATTTTATTTTAAATAAGATATGATACCGGACATTTGAATTTAAGCAAGGACAATTTTAGTAAAAATTTACAAAAGTATAAATGCCCCATCGTTTTTACTTGGGAAAAAGTTAAATTTTGTTTTAATAATCATATAAATTTCGATGTTTAGATATCATCGAGTCCATTCGTTTTGAGCTCTCTAATATTGAAATGTAATGATGATGATAATTTGAAGGTTACATGTTTAAACGGTACCAATAGGATAAATAATTTTGAAATTAATGATACATATCTTAAGTATTTATTGCCTACAAAAGATGACCATACATTCTTTGAAAAATGCCGACCAATTGATCATACTGATATCAAAAGTAAAATAATAAATGTGAATTTAATTATAGATAAAGAAACTTCCATTATTAAGTATATCAATTATAGTTGAATTTCATATCAGATCATTCCATGTCAAATTGACCAAAAATCGAGTTTTTTGGGAAACCCTAACATGAACGAAATTTGGTCTGATAGTTACCTATGCTCGTTGGCGTACGCAGCGCCAAAAAATGCAGATGCCGGATATATTTTTCTAAAATATTATTGTTTATATTAATTTATATTTGTTAATATTTATTCGTATCTCATATTAAATATAAATTTAATTACATTATCACATTTATCTACTAAGTTATTTTATCAATTAATTTCGATTTCAAGTTTTCCTGCGTAATATTTACTTATTATTTTCAAATTTTTAGTAACGTAATATTTTTCTACCATTTTCAAATTTCTAGTCAAATAATAATTATTTCTGAAACTTCTTGTCCAACAGGGAAAAAGAAATTGCAACTTGTTCAACGAGATAGAGTCTCTGCCATCAAGCAGTAACAGCTTTTAAGGAGTTAGAAGAGCCAATTATTTGCTATTACAGAAATATCACAATGGCCTGAAAGAAATATTTCCTCAGAAGCAAGAAAATTATTGGATTCAATGCTTATTCCAAATTTTATTTCTCATTAGAATGTATTATTTAATTATACAACTATTTTAAGTAATACTTTTCAAAAACATGACATTGACTTGATAAAGAAGATGAGAATAGCGGAGAGCATTTTATCAGAACTCAAGGAAATTAGGGCTAATGTTGATGAAGAATTTCATATTTTATTGTTGAGTCAAAAGCAGAGCTATACGTGTTTAATATTTGTCTCCCTCGACTTGTAGCAAGGCAAGCTCATCGTTAAAACATTAATATAGGATCAGTAGAAGAGTATATCTTAAATACAGATACATTTATAACCCAAATAAATGAATTTTTAATTCATCATGCAGCACTTACTAATCTGCAAATATTACTTCCACAAAAGCCTTCCCAACCTTTTTCAGATGGTGATAAAAAAAAATATTTGTTAGATTTTTATTATGAAGATGTTAAAGTATCTTATGATGCCTTACTAGCTGAATAATTATGTTTATAAGATTAACTATGGTTGATACAGTCCCAAAAAATGCTATGGATGCTCTGCATTATTTCAAACACATTTTAGATTAAATTCCCAATGTATTAAAAGGGTTTATAAACTCTTCCCATTAGTAAACTAATGAGAGAACATTCTCTTTTTTAAGAAGAATAACAGAGGCCTGCAGAAGTATCATTTGCAGGGCACGGCCCGGATTTTTTTAAAAAAATTTTAGGCCCGACTCGACTTTTTTTAAAAAAATTTCAGTCCCGGGCCCGGCTTTTTTTAAAATAAAATTTTCAGGCCCCGCACGGATTTTTTAAAAATAAATTATATTTATTTTTGATTTTTATAGCTAATAATAACGATTTCAAATATAGGCTGTTTTAAAAAATACAGCCCGGATTGTGTGTTTTTTTAAAATTATTCAGGCCCGGCTTGGGTGTTTTTTTATAAAAAAATCGGGCCCGGCCCGGGTATATTTAAAAAAATTAAAATACTGTCTAGCCCGGGGGCCGAGCCTGCAGGTCTCTGAAAAACATACCAAGAAGTACAACATCTGAAAGTAGATTGAAAGGTTTGGATTTTTGAATATTCATAGGCATTTGACGACAAGCAAGGATGAGATAATTGAAAAATTAGCTCAATCACAATGAAGATTGGATTTTACATTGTAAATATATATTAATATATAACATACAAAATGCAGAAAATTTTTGTGTAAAGGCTCAAAAAATTAAAATTTCTATTTTGGGTCATTCTTTACATATATAATTTTTTTATAATTCACATAAATTTAAAATTGTGTATTAGAAATAGTTATTAGTCCTAATAAATTTATGCTTGATATTTTTAAAAAACAATAATATTTCTTAAAAAAATTTATTAACCCCCCCCCCCCAGACCAGATTCCTACGTACGCGCCTGCCTATGCTATATATTTTAGTGAAATAAAAATATTTGAGCGCTAGCTCAATCAGATCCAGGGATATATTCAAAGTCGAAATTCGCCCAAGGCGTGATTTCATTAAATCTTTTTTTAAAAAATGCTTAAAATAGAGTTACAAATTATATATCATTTTATAGCCCTTAAAATTCTGCATTGGAAAATATCAAAATATTATAAAAAATTCTAACTGTTTTCTTATTTTCGGTAAAAATAAAATATTAACATTGTTGAGAGAGGATTTTTTGGGTGTGGATATTCGCTAGGAATGTTTATTACCTTCATATTTAACTGTTTTATCACAAATTTCGATAGCCATTCTTGTCTTTTTATTTTAATTATTATTTTTATAAATAAAAAAATATATAGATGCCGTTATATTTAAAATCGTTATAATATAATATACTTAATACAAATATGTATTGTATTGGTATTAAAAAAACCATTAAGTATAACCAATATGATGTCCTGGGGCTATATGTAAGCAAGCAACTCCTAAAACATATTTTGAAATTTTATGTCAAACTATTAGAAAAATATCTCTTATCTTTATCATATTCCATTTTGCTCTTATTAATTAAATTTCTTCATAATTTGTAGGTATACCTGTCGTTATTATGAATCTATTTCCTTATTATTTGATGTCACTTATGGGGCAAAAGAATGAAGTGAGGGTTCATGCAGATGTAAGAATTATATATATCCTTAATAATATTTTTTTTTTAGTACTCTGGCTAACCACCAAAAAATCGTCGTAACGCATATTTAGAAAAAAGATCGACCACATGTATTTTTGACGATTTTTTGTGGTTAGTCAAAATAATAAAAATGGATAAAATTACTGAGGGATATATATTTCCATTTTACATTCCTATGTACCTTCACCATCCTCCTTTTATCTCATAGTTGAGGAAAAGAGATTGCTCATTAATCAAATACATAGTTGTGCAGATTTAATGGAAAACATTTCTATATTTTTAATTCGTTTGTAAATAAAATTATTGAACCTGTAAAAATTGATAAGAATATTTAAATATGTTATTGTAACAATTTTTTATAATTCAAATAATTTTAATTGCACATAAATTTAAAAAAAAAGGAAATGTTTTCCATCAAATCAGCATAACACTGTAATAACGTTAGTAGATCCCATAACAACGACAAAATGGAATACGTTAAAAACAAGCGGATTTTTTTAAATTATAATCTGTATATAAAATATCAAAATATGTTTATTTTACAATATAGCCTCCTAATAATAATCGTATCTTTGTGAGCTTGCTTGCTTACATATCGACACAGGACATGATATTTGGTATACGCAATGGATTTTTTTATTTTAACATCGATACATTGCATATTTTTATTAAATATATTATATTATTTTAGTTGCATGACTATATCAATGTTTTAATTGCCTGACTCTATCGAATATATTTCTTGAAACGCAATTAATGTTTTGGTTCACTCACTTAATCGAATAATTAATTTACAATGCAATTAACCTTTAAAATATATTACAACTCTTTCTTTAAAAAAAAAAATGGGAAAAGCCATTATTAAAAGCATACTCGGACGATATGAACCCATTTTTCCTACAACTCAACTTTGAGGATGGGAGAGAGTGTATGAGACATTCAGATACAGTACGGAGGGGAGTGGAACCTGGAAGACTAAGTCCGGTTGCTAAGTGTTGAAAGAAAAATAGGAAATCTTGTTAGATAATTGAAATCTTAACTTAAATATTATATATATAAGGGGTAGTGACTGATCACACATGAGAGGGGATATGTCCTTGTTAACTTGTATTATACAAATAAACACGTTGAAGAAAATATATGTTAAATGCTAAAAGTAAATACCGCTGATTGATTAAATTGTAAAATTAAAAGAAAGGAACAAGGTCGTGAAATTTAAAAAAATAGTTGTTGATAATTCAGCATAAGGAGGAGAATATCAAATTTGGTATATCATTAACCAAGAAATGAAAGAGAAAAGATCTATTAACTAAATGAAATTTACGAGCGCTGTCAAACCAAAAAAATATATAAAGTGATTATGGGGTGTCACAGTGTGATAAGGATCATTAATTATAAAATAAGTGAAAAAGTGATGATTAAAAGTTATTTTTTTTGGAAAATTATTTCAAAAAATTTGTTTTATGGGATGAATTGGTGTAATCATTATTGTGTTGATAAAAAAAAGTTTTTTTTGATTTAATAAAAAAAATTTGGTGTTGAAAAAAATTGCTTGTTTTTTTAAAAAAAAGATATTAAATTTTTTTTATTAAAGTATAAAATTCATGATGGTAATTCACAAATTTATATATCTACGCATTATAATCGTCCGGATTAGTGTATATATCAGTGGAACAGAGGATGGCAGTAAGTCAGAATGACTCCCACCAGCGTCCCAATCTTTCCAACCGAGAAGAGGGCGATACCTCTTTCGAACGTGTTATCATTGTCAATCAAGATATCATCTGCAGGATGGGTATTCCCGCGGACCTAGATGACAAGTAGAACCATACCGGAATGTCAGACAGCCGATGCAAACGATTCCTGTGACAAGACCAACAGTGTCATTAGTAGAAGGAATGATAAAGACGATGACATCTGTTGTAGAAAACAGAGGAGACCACTATAATCAATGGAGAACATCCAGGAATTAGATTTGATGGTTTAGATATGACGGATAATGAAATGGAAAAATATCTCCGCCGGGAATAAGGGGGAAGTCGAAGGTATTCTTACAAGGTGGCCTGTCCTATTCTATTAACTTATATGAGATTTACATAGATTATATAAAATGTTATAATATATTTTCGTATTTATCACAATAAATAATGCTTATAGTTTATTTTACATTTTGTTTTATTCATTATATTTTTTTTTCTTATCCATGCTTATAGTTTGTGTTTTTTTTAAATTTATTTATAAGATTTGTGTATTTAGCTTATAGTATGTAAAAAATCGATAGTTATTATTATTTTTTATCGACATTTTTAGCCATTGATATTTTTTTTCAATTTAATATTATTTTGAAATTGAATTGTAAAAAATAACAAGTGAAATTTAAAATGGTCTCAAAAATTTAAATAAGAAAATAAGCAAGTTAAGAGTTGAAGATATTTATTTAAAACATTAAGTGTAGTAAAAAAAAGGAGTTGCATATTTTTACTTAACAAGAAAAAGAGAAAGATTAAAAAAAAAGAGTTGTAATATATTTTAAAGGTATATTGCATTGTAAATAAATTATTCGATTAAGTGAGTGAACCAAAACTTCAAATGCGTTGTAAGAAATATATTCGATTGTAAAAAAATTAATAAAATTAAGATCAACACAAACTATAAGCGCTAGATAAAAAAATCTTATGAATAAAACAAAATGTAAAATAAACTACAAGCATTAGTTGCGATAAATACGAAAATATACTATCTTTTAATATTTTTTTTGATATTTTCTAAAGGCTTATCCTAAATATTTTTGTAAAAAACAAGATTTAATCAAATCATTTCGACTTTAAAGGAGTATATCTTTGGATCTGGTTGAGCTAGCGCTTTAAAATTTACATTTACAACTTAAATAATTAACATAACAAGTTTCACATTTTTAAGTTGGTCGTCCGAAACACAGGTTAATTTGTAATAAAAATGGCCTATTTACTAAAGATTGAACCTGACCCATCAGAATTTTTTTATATAATAGTAGTATATTATATATCATAGAGAGGAATTCATGAAATGAGGTTAGCTTTAAAATTGAAATAATTTTCAGCACGCGTTTTTTAATTTTTAAAGACCTGATTTAACCGAAATTATACTCCGTCATATATATTGGCCTGCCCTATGAATTTCAGGCACATTTCCATGAACATTTGGATGTTAACTTTAATTAGTATACAAAAATCTATGGAAAATTCGATATTCAAAATTTGTCGCAAATTCAAATAATAGGATTTTCACGATATACTTGTGGGAATCAATTCCGGTAAAATCAAGTCTTAAAAAGATTAAAAGACTGATACTATAAATTTTAAAGATTTCTCCATATCCTAGTGCAAATCCGGACCGTCAGTATTTTGATTGATTTATGGAATTTATAAATGCTCTAATAAACATTTTACTTTTTCTAGATCAAACATTTGAGCACCTCATAAACCTCGCCTCACACCAAATTGACGCTTTTCTTAGTCATGTTTATTACAATAATAAAACTTATGAGTCGAATAACAAAATTAAGCTTACGCCTACTCACATTCGCAACTTAGATTCATACATATTACATAGCCATGTTACATTTCTTGTTCCAGGGGTTCGAGAACATAGAATATGGCATCCTTTAGACATTTCCCTTATATTGAAATCAATCGATTCTCCACGAATAAGAATTAAGGTTCTGATTTTGTTAATGTAATTTAACTTCCTAATAATTCAAGATTATGTTTAATGTTATATTATTAATCATTAATTTCATTATTAAACTATAACTTGTATTTAAGTGTAATATAGATCTCTAGATCTTTTGGTATATTTATAAGCTACTATATTTTTTTATAAATAAAAGGAACCTGAATATAAATTTGAGTACTCCCGTATCAACAAAATGAATACATCTCTAATAAATCACGTTATAAAAATATCTTACAAACCAGCCAATAATATTGGTTTAAAGGTCGAAATTGCTATTTCTGAACGGTTCTTATATAAACTTTTACTTGTAACGTTTCCAGCTTGCCGTTGTTCTTTAATTGAAGAAAGGGAAGATGAATCATGTGTGGAATTTTACAGTCATGATGTTTCTGATAATTTTGATAAAGTACCTCTTAATTTCATTTATAATAAATTTCAAAATATATTTATTTATTATATACAAATTTTAATTGAGAACATTCTTTCTTTATTTAACTGAATATAACCAATAAATACGGTTTTATCTTATAAACTAAAATTCGAGGAACAGAGCTTAAAAAAAATTATAGAATGGTAAATCGGAACCGTTCCGAGATGTTTTAGGAAAAATATAAATATAATATTTTTTTAATAGCCTGTAAATATTTTTTTGAATTCTAGTTTGCTTCACATAACATTACTATGGAATGATGGGTGAATCAGAATTTTCTTCTTTATTTGGTAATGGTTGAATCAGAATTTTACCTATCTTTTGAAAATATTCCAAGTTTTTTTTTAAATTTGGCTTTCCATAGTTTGAAATATTCTCCGCTTACGATTTTTCGCCTTCCATACCCTAAGCATGGCCATGTTCCTGATCCCTGATTTAAATTTTGTGCATTAATGACACATATTTTTCTCATTATTGACCATTTTATATAAACTATGACTATTTATTATTGATTATTGAAAAAAATGGCATATTGATTAAACTCTTGAATTAGATTTAGCTATTAAATATTGATAGTTTTTATAACAGGCGACAAAAATATATTTTATGATAGGTACGTTGCCTTATTATAGACTCATTCGGATACGTTCTCACATCCTCATATTTTTCATCTTTCAATATTGATTCACGTTCTAACCCGATAGTGGGCGAGCATATAATACGTGCTGAACCGCGTTTTTTTGTCGACTTGGTAAGCGCAACGCCTGGATTTCGCCCAGCAGTAACCTCAACCAGTTGCCTTATTAATAAAGGATCTTCGGAAATTTTGCGTTTCGGATATGCGTTTGCAACTACGAGTATAATAGAGGATGAATTACGCAATTTCATTGATTTCAAAAGTCTCTCCCATTAATTATATTACTTTTTTTGGTTTAAGAGGGAATTAATATATAGAATATGCTGCTATAGGGTATGGAGGAATTCAGGCTTGTGATGATTTTTAAACTGCATTAAAGTGAAAAGAGTTAGCGGCTGGGTTGAAGAAGTTCTCGGAGCACAAATAATATGTTAGAGGTAAGTAGTAGAGTTATTGAAAATAACTTTTTCAGATAGAAATATACTTTGTCTTAACATATAAATCATTATCTTCGAGAATTAATTCATTTCAAAACATTCGACGAGTTCAAGTTTTTCTTCCTAAGACTTTCCTTTTTTATTCTAAACGATCAAATATGAGAGTCCTAGTAAAGTTTTAAATGGTATATATGGTTTAACTTAGGGCTGTCAGGGTGAAGAGAAAAATAAGAGGAATAAGCAGATGAAAGGTTTGCAAAATCATGAATTGATATAGTTAAACTTTTTCAAAATATAAAAACTTTAATTCTAAAGCATCCTTCGATAATAAAAAATGCAAAGAACCTTTTGTCTTGCTACCCATTGATAGAACTAACTTATTCGTGGTGGTTATAAGTAGGCCTCGCGAATTAAATTCCTCTCGTCATGACAAGATACAAAAATCTGAACCTGATTATGGTTTAGGTGGTCAATGTCCGGTTTTTTGCCCCTGTAGTAGGTTAATATTATTATATCTTATTATAATGACAACATAATCTTCTAATTGATTTCACGAAAAGCACATCATTATTATAATTTCGAAATTTTAATTCTTTATTATTCAAATTGAAGATACCAAAACACTTGTTTTGACTGCGGTCTTCGACTAGAAAAAGAGACCAAAAAATATATAAACGAAAAAAGTGAAGACTTGTTAAATTCGATAGAGGCTACAACAGATTGTGAATGCCCATGCGAGTGCGAAGTCAAAGATGCCACAGAGTTTTATATAGCTAATCAATACGATAAAGAAACATTTTTAAGATCTTCTTATTTGACGACCCGTGGGTGTCTAATGGGTTTTAAAAAAATATATATTTTTATAATCTTATGGCTAGTCAAAGTACGTTGTTTTAGCTAGCAATGTTAAAAGACAGCAAATAAAAAATCGAGCGTTTCGCAATAAGTTTATCATAAAGAAAACTTTCTTTTTTACATTAAATCAATTGAATTAGGGTGTAGTGTTATATTTTAATTCTTAAACTTCACCAATTTTTATTCATTTTTTGATTTAAAGAATATTTTGTATAATAGACATGAATCTTCATTTGAAAACACATCGATTTTTATATAATGGTCGCAAAAGAGCCCAGAATTCTTTACCATGGCCTCAGCCTAAGATATTATATTTCGAGTATAAGTTTATTGCTATATTTTAAGTAGCTAAAATTTATAAATAATTCAATGATTAGTTGTTTTTATCAGGATAAATTATACATACGTTGAATATTTGTTTAAATATAACAATTTATTTTTTGCAAATTATGGTTTCCTAAGAAAAACTCTATTCCACCATTCCGAATTGTCCTGCCGACGAATACATTATAAACAACGATTTTTGTCAACATTCGGAATATTTAAAAATTGTTACATCACAAAATTGTCAAATTCTTGGCTCCAATTATTTAAACTGTTTAGGCCTGATAGGTTGTGAATGGTGCACACACTTTTATGAAAAACAGAATATGACGTATAATATAATACCATTTAAAAACCCTTCTTGTTTTGCTTCAATGAATTGCACTGGTGGGATCAAAAATTTACCAGGCAATTTTTCATTCCATTCTCTCGGTAATAAGTATGAAAAATTGAACAGACATCGAGAAGATCTTCTATTTGCTAATAGTAACCGTTTTTACAACTATAGGAATGATGAAGGAGGCGACTTCGATGATTCTAAAAGTCAGAAATGATTTAAATTTATTAGTTTACTAGTAATAATTTTTTTCCATACAATAATTTATGCGTAATATTCTCAAAGTAAATTCCAAGGTTCCATATTTCCGTATGATATCTCTCGCTCCCTCCGATGTCCCTTACAAAATTAAATCGATTTCGAACGATAAAACCCCCTTGCCAGCTATTTTAGGAGGAATAGCTGGGTGTTTGGGCTGTTTTGTTCTCGTGCTTTATCTTTATTTACAAGGACCGAAACGTTCTTCGACAATCCTTTCCACAAGGCACAATATTAGGAGAAGAGATGAGGATTTGATAAATGATCAAGATCAAGATTGTAGTAATGAATGTCAGACCAGTTTTCAAGATAGCTTTTGTCAGGGATTGGATAGCCATGATACACTACTGCATGTTGTGACCGATCATGGAGACCAAGGCAAAAATAAAAATTTTTAAAAAGCTTCCAAAATAATTAATATCCCTCCTTTTTCAATCACTATATAGATATGACTGTAACTAATAATAATCAGTTGCCTTCAACCTCGTCATGTAGGAGAAAAATAGGAAGCGACCATGGATATAGTACAATGACTACTAAAGATGATTCTGAAATCGCCACTAATAGTGAAACTATGTTTTCAGGTTACAATTAAAATTTTTATACACAATAGTATTTGCATTATTTTTCATAAAAAAAGGATCTGACGCATCCACAGTATTTAAAAAATACAAATTATCGGACATATTGTCTAGAAACAACACCGTCCAAATGAATACATTTAAAGATAAGAACATTCATTTAGCTCAAACCCAAAGATATTATTCTAAAGCATCAATACCTCATGAAAAGCAACACCCTAAAATTTTAATAAAACGCGGAAATTTTTTATATAATAGACATCAAAATTGGCGCTCCAAACCGGTTACCCATTTTAAAAATGATCTCACCAATGTAGAAGATGAGCCAAATATTAATTTCGATAAAACCAAACATATTTTAAATTGTGGCAGAATAATTTACAAGCAAAACTTATTGAAAGATTTAAGAATTACAGGGAAAACCCCATTATACAATGATATAGAGGAAGAGATATTTGTAGATGGTAAATTTTTTACTATAAATTTTACAAACTTTAATATTTTTAAAATATTATCTATAATTATATCATTTTCAAGATGAAGAATATATACGAGACAAATCAAAGAGGTCACCTTATAAAGAAAATTGTGAAATAATAGTCTCTCCCATTTCAGCGCGTGAAATAAAAGTACCTGTTGTGTTTCATCGAAATTTTGAAGGCCTATAAGTGTTTATGATCTTTGCATTTTACTTAATATTTGCTCAAATGTATTTTATACAATTTATATAGTAACTGAATAGTAATTTTTAGAAAAGTAGAATATTTCAGATTTTTATATAATATCTATTTTTAACTATTAATTTAGGATGACGACAATTTATAAATTTATAGATTAATAGTTTACCAATAAATAATGGTAAAATATCTAATATATTTTATTTCATCATGGATTTAATGAAACTTATTAAATTGTATATGATATTTTATTAAATAATTTTTTAATTTAATTAAAATAGGTACCACATAAAGGCCAAGTTATAATATTTAGTATCTAAGTATAAGGGTGTTTTTAAAATAAAATATTTTTTGTTTTTTTGCTCCGAGTTATTTAACCTTAGAGGAGCAAAGGGTAGACTGAATGTATGTGACTACCTTTTTTAAGATAACCAAACTAAGGGAATATTATTAATTATAGCTTAATTTAATCAAAATAGGTACAAGCTAAGGTCACGTCTTAATATTTAGTATTTATATTGAGCACTTTATAATTTATTATTTTGAATTTGAGGTTTTCCTTTATTAAATCATCTATTATTTTATATAAGAGTATCGCTGCTTAGTGTTATTTAATTAACAATTTTTTATGTATACTTTTATTTTTTTGATCCCATATTTAAAAAATATAATTATAAAAATTATGTGATTACATTTTTTATTAAAATTAATTAGTTTACAGAAAAACAAACGTGAATATAGGCATAGCCAGAATTTTGCTAAGGGTGAAGGGGGGGGTGCACTATTAGGTTAGTTTTCCCCAATACACTTTATTGGAGGTCCTTAAGGCCACATATTATAGGCCTTTGGCTAAGTTATATTTTTCTAAAGAATAATTTTGGTCTTTCACTTTTTTTACAAAAATGGCTTTTTTTTAGTGCTGTGTTTGAAAAAAGGACGCGTTGCCGTTACTCGTTATCTCGTGGAACGCGTTGTTACTCGCTATTCAAAAAAATTAACTCGTTACTTAAAAATGCTAAATAGTAAATATAAATTTTCTTTTAATTTATTTTTTTCCCATAGATAATAAAAAATATATTATAAGATATGTTAATTGTAATCATATTTATTTATTTTTAACAACAATTGCATTTCAAAATTTTGAATAAAACAATAGCGCATGCTCAACATATCATTTGTTGTGCTAAACACACGTTAGCGCAGAGGATGGAAAGGATTATATATAATAAATAAATAATTTATTTGGGGAATTTACTAAAAATATTTGATTCTATTCAAAAAAACTATTATATCATCTTCATAAAAATGTCTTTATCATAATTTAATTTAAATTCATATGTTTACCTTCATTTGTTTTTTTTAGATTAGAGCTGCTGGACATCGAGTTAAATATTAGAATTAAAGCACAATCTACACTTAAATGTGTAGGCCACTAATTTTCTTTATTTGTGTAAAAAAATATTTCATGCTGTGATCAGGGCATAGTTAAATCATTTTCACCTGAAGAAATAAGTAATATTGACATATATTCTCAATATAATAATTTATAATATTAGAGTATATAAATTAATGTACGTTCTTTGTTTCATTATTAATTAAATTAACAATCTCGACTGCAGGGGTGGGACCAATGTCAATATATAATTAAATATTGGTATTGGTTTGATATATTGTTTAAATATAATATTAACTAAAAATAGATAAGTACACTTAATTATTTGGTTTTATCGTGGTATATTTTTTTTACTTTCTTTAACTTGCCTAAACTTATTTCATCCGATATTACTTTAGAAATATTAACTTTTCTGTATTGTTATATCAATATTGGTGTTATTTATAATTTATAATTGTAGTTTATTTTTATTATGGAAATTTTTTTTTACATGATATCAATTTTTATCTATTCATTTAGGATATTGTAATGAATGAAGACCAAATAGTGTTAGTAAATATAGATAATGCTGATGATACTAATATGATAATGAACAAGAACAATCATCAATATCTAATAAAAGACGAAATAGAGCAAAAATCTGGGAATTTTATACGAGTTGTGATGAAGGATATTTGTAATAAATGCAAAAAAAAATCTCTTCCCAATTTTGGAACCTCAGGGTTATGGACACATCTTAAATCATACACCCAACATTATATAGGAAATGTGAACAAACAAATAAAATTGGCTGTAAAAAAATTAACACAATAAAATCATTTTTAGTTAATAATATAAATAATAAAACTAATTTAAATCATTTAATTAAATAGAAATTAACATTATCATAGCTCTTTTAACAATCTAAAATCTGTACTTTTTAACATTACATCTAAATTTTCCTTAACAATGGACATATGGTCCTCTCCAAATAAAATACCCTTTATGGGCATAACAGTTCATTTTATTGATAATTATTTTAAATTAAATAATCATTTATTAGATTTCATTCTTTTTAAATCAGCACATAATTCTATTAATATTTATAATATTTTTAATTCTGTATTAAAAGTAAATTTTGAAATTGATTTTTTTTGTATTACATTAGACAATGCAAGTAATCATTTAGCATTTCTAAAAATTTTAAATCAAAAAGATAATTTTAATTTAAATAATGTGTACAAATGCTTTTCCGCCTTGGAACCCTTAAATAAATCTTTAGAAACAATATTAAAATTTTTTAAATTCCTATATCTAAATTTTATAAACTCGAAAAAATATTTCTTGAAAAAAATCCAACCTTATAATTTCCTAATCCAATTTTGGATATACCAACACTTTGGAAATCAACATACCAAATGATTAAAAGGGCAATATTGCACAAACCCTATTTAACAACATATGCCAATCATTTACAAAACACCAATGAAGAAAAATTTATTAGTGCTTTACCTGGAATAATATTAAAATATATCGAGAATTTCTGGAACCATTTAATTTTTCTACAGAGATGGCCGCATGTGCAAACACTCCGTCAGTTTCAACTATCATTCCTTTATATTCCAATATTTTTGAGCATGTTGAAAGTTACAATAATATTCCTAATACTATTTCTTTAACTGCCTTAACAAAACTTTATAAATACTATAATTTAATAAACACCTGTATATTATATAACAATGATTGACCCACAGTTTAAAATATCAAGTCACCTATTAAAAGATCAATAATATTCCTAATACTATTTCTTTAACTGCCTTAACAAAACTTTATAAATACTATAATTTAATAAACACCTGTATATTATATAACAATGATTGACCCACAGTTTAAAATATCAAGTCACCTATTAAAAGATAATAGTATATACACTCTCATTGGATACCTAACAAGAAGAATATAATATTTATAAAATAAATAATTTCAATTCAACATATAAATGAAACAGAAAATAAATCCAAAAAATTGTCCTTTTATGATAAATTGAAGTTAAACATAGTCATAATAAGAATAGCTTAGAAATAAGCAAATATGTGGAAGAAGTAACAATTTCTAATGATACAAATTCAATAGACTGGTGGAAATTAAATCAAAATAAATATCCAATATTATCATCGCAAGAAATTATCTTGCAATTCCAGCTAGCTCTGAAAGAGCGTTATCAGAAGGACGGTCTGTTATGACTGACCAACGTTGTTCACTAGATGAACATACTTTCCTATGCCTAAAAAGTTGGATGCGCATGCAGGATTCTTCTCAAAAACTTAAAATTATTTTTCCTTATATGAAATTTATATCAATCTTTCGCACTGTATTTTATATAAATAGACAGTTATGTTATATTCTAGTGTACTCATTTTGCTATATTTTTTGTGCTAAATAAAAAGTTTCAAAATCAATACGTTTATTATTTGTTTGGTTAGGTTTTCAAAATTTTTTATATTTACATCATCTAATAAATTCCTAGTTTAAAAAAAGAATTCGGATTCAGTAAAATTTTGAAAGTTGGTTCTTAGCCCTGATTTTATGGTAATGCTTCATGATTTTTTTTTCTTTAAAACTAGAAATTACGGGTTTTTTAAAACAACTATTTCTATTCCTTAAATTAGTAATTTAAACCAATATCAATATAAACAATACCAAGAAAATATTGTTTAAACCAATATCAATATTGGTGACCCAATACCAATACAATATTACGTTTATCTTGGGTTTTTAATATTGGTTCCCAGTCCTACTTGACTATAAAATTCAACAACAAAAATAAAATAAAAATTAAGAACTCTGTTGGTTGATATTCGGCTTAGATTGTTAATTAAAAAAAAATATATAATAAATTAAAAAATATTTTTGCTATAATTTTTAAGAAAAAAACGCAATACTCGTTACCTTTTGAAAATGAGAGGAAAATTTGCGAAGCGAGAAATTTTTCCTCGTCCCCTCTCATGGCTACACCTATGAGCCTGAATATAATAAAACATAAGTGTTATAAATATTTTACAAGACCTCCATTATTAAACCTCAGTGTTAGAGGTGATTAATAATAAATGATAAATATATACGAAATATAAAAACACATAGGACTCATTCATTATTCACCTCAAAATATATATATTTATTCATTTATTTACTTTATTAAGTTAACAATATTTAATATATTTTAAATTTAAACCTTTTTAATTCTTTCTTTACTATTTTTATATTTTCACAGTTAGAATATTTGTTTCTATTGTCTGTCATTTTTTATTTAGCTTCTATTTGAAGATATTTAAATTCGGCCTTGACTACTTTGAAATCTTTTCTCCCATTGGAAAATTACATACTGATTGATCGTGGTTATGAATGGTGGGAAACATTACAGAGTCGTAACCTAGATAACTTATCAGATGAACAATTAATTGGATGTAACATTCATATCATCAAATTGACGCGCAAACCATAAAATGGTGCAACGGATGACTCATATGCAGAGGCTTAAATGCAATTAATGAATAAGTCGCCAATCTAATAATATAGACACGTCTTGGACCATCATGGTTGAAAGATTACAGGGTTCTAAACTATTAAGACTGCAAATTTTTTTTAAGAGAAAGCTTATTAATATATTTATTGAAAAGTGGTGTTTCTACCGACCTTGCCTTTTGATGCAATTTAGACTCTAGGGTTTACTAAATATATTTATGCATAGGCATAGCCAGGGGGGGGCAGAGGGAAATCCCATCCCCTTCAGAAATTTATCACTTTTTATGAATATCATTTTGGCTAATAAAAATATCCTCCTTAGTCCTCTCCCCACCACCTGTCCCCCAAATAATATATCTTAAACTATTGATTATAATTCATACTTTTTTGGAAAAAAGCAAATTATATATTGTAATAAATTAATAAAATATTATTTATAGATATTATATATATATAAATAGAATGGAACATTCGAAAATTAATTAATAAAAATTTGATGTTTGAAATAAATTGAAATAAAAAGGAGTAGTCGTTTTATTATAAATTAGTAGTTATATTGTTACAAATGGCGACGATAAATGGAGAAAATAATTCCTTAAATGGAGATTCAAAAAAATTGGCAGATTTATCTACGATTAAATTTGATAAATTCGACAATGATACAACGATTTCAAGATACTTATCTCAATGGGAAGCCAGTTTTCGGTTAAAAAACGTAAGCCCATCTGAATGTCAATATAAAGATATATTTTTAACATTTTTTGGCAATAAGAATATTGAGTTGGTAGACCGTTTTTGTTATTCTGATTCGATCGAAACTTTATCTTTTAAGGAAATTAAGTCAATATGTTTTAAGTTTTTTAAACCTACGTCAACAGCTTTTGCTTCTAGATTTGATTACGGAGAACAACTGAAACCATAACTGAATTTGCTGATAAAATTAGAACAATTGGCAAGCGTTGTCATTATCTTAATGATATTGACGAGCGTTTACGTGATCAGTTTATGGTTGGCATGAAAATACCGGGATTGGAAAGAGATCTTAGAACTCTATATCCCGACGGTCTTGATAGAGATAATAATGTACTGACTTTCCATTATTCTTGATCTGGCATTAGCTTCTGAGCGA